AAAAAAAAAAAAAAAAAAAAAAAAAAAAAAGGAACCGTTCCACCTATAATATTATTGTTCGACATAATAATATATTTTATTGTTAGACGCGCGGTTATTATATTATAATTGTTAGTTTTTTCCGAACTGTATCAAATTACCCTGTAATCCATATATTTTATCATTATTATTATTTATTTATTTATTTTTTTTTTTTTCATGAAATCTACATTTAAAAAAAGTTGGCCATTAGACGCGATAATAGTAATAATAAAATTAGACATTAAAAAAAAGAAAAAAAACCCTTGTACAGTATAATTATATGTTAAACGTATTTTCTAACACGCGGTTATTGTAGCAGTTATTATAATATTAAAACAATCATAATAATGACGGTTATTTTTTTTTTTTTAAATTTACATTATTTTTATGACATTTTAATGACGGCCTAAATCAATATTTTTCAATATTGCGCTGAACGTCTTTTGGCGGGTGCATACATATTATTATTATCATATTATATGCTTGTGTGTATAGAAAAACGGCTCATGGAAAAAAAAAAAACAAAAAAACGTGTTTATACCTATGCGGAGAATATAATTATTGTTATTATTAACTTTTTTGTTTTATTTTTTTTAATTAATTTTACTGCACTTGTCCAACGATTCGAAAACGACCTGTGACATATGCGTTGTATATTATTATTACATAGGTGTGTAGGTATAGGTGTACATAATAATAACAATAATAATAAAAATAATTTTTTTAATTGAAATATTACCACGAACGTTTTTTTTTTTTTTAAAGAAAATAATTTTAGCGTCGATTAAAAAAAATATACAATGCATTTTTTTTTTTTTTACAAATCTGTCCTGATGCATAAATCAAGTGCGCATATTATTTTTGGCCCCTGTATAAATTGTTAAATGCAGAAAGGTGACATATTCAAATTTTATAATTTTTCAAAAAAGACAAAAACTAAAGTCTTATAATACTTGAATACTTTATATAAATACCGTATATAGAAACGCACAGTCGGTTTCGACTTTTCTCAGAAGTATAAATCACCTATTTTTGTCTTTATTGAAAAATTAAAAAATTCGGACACGTGCCTTTTCTGCATTAATCGATTCATATAATATAGTAATGCTTATTATTGTTTCCGTAAATATATTATAGGCGCGATTTCAAATTTAACACGTGAATATATGTGTGCCGGTGTGTGTATGTGTCTGTGTGTGTCGGCGTACGTTTTTTTTTTCAACATATATTATATATATACGACATACGTATTAGGTATATGTGTTTGGGGTGTGTTTTTTTTTTTTTTATTATTATTGCGATCGCCATAAAGTTCTTGGAAGAACAAAGTCATAATCGATTTTTTGCTTCGTCTATACCAAAAAAACCGTTGCAGTTGCGATGTCTTACTGCATTGTAAAAGGGTAAAAACGTATTATACAATTTATCAGTTGAAAGGGTTAATGGATGGTTAAAGGTGTTGATTGAAATTTTGTTTGAAATCGATATTATTTCGGGAGTCGACTTGCTTCGATGCATTACAGATGTTTATAAAAACTCGGGACAAAAAAAATGTATATTTTTTTTTTCTGGAGATATTCAACTAATATAGGTGTCATATAGTATATTATGACGTTATCGCCGATTAGCATTAGATTTTTAAAGGTTTTTCTTTTGATAAAGGTGCAATAGTAATATTTGTCGTTACAAATCACCTTTACTCATTGACCACTATGATATTACATCATTAGCTGCGGCGGTGATACGGTTAAAAATCGAAAACGATCGTAATAATATTATTCACTATCATTTTACCTTGTGGAACACTCTTCACTAACAATATATTATAATATGTTATAATAAGACACTACGTATCAGGTGACCAGAAATATCGTGACAAAATTATTATACATTACGACGTACACTGTACAGGTACAGATTTGGTAAAAAAAAAAAATTAAATTAAATTAAAAAAAATGATGATAATATAATGCCAATAGCTTTCGTCTCAAACGCATTTTCGCCGTATTTATCTTATTTAATATAATATTATAAGAAAAGAACATAAATTAATAAAATAATTTATTATGTATCGGTAATTTTTTTATTTTTGTAATCCAGTCAAATATAATATAATAATATAAGGCTTATTGGCGTATAATAATATTAAAACTCCCGAACAGTTATTGATAATAAAACATTTTATTGAGACGATCCAGTTATTTATATTTATTTAATTATTATTATTATTTATTTATTTTTTTTTTTTTTAAACGGCTGTGGATCATATTAATTGCAGTATATTTATATATTATTATTAGGTATATTGATTCAATTAGAAAATTATCCCCTCAAAAGAGAGATTTTCGGGTAAAATTTTTAATATCGTTATTATTCGCTTAAAAAAATATTATAATTAAACTTGTCGGAGGTAACTTAACGAAGGAAACATCTTAGCTATCACAGCACAGCACCTTATAGGCGTTTGGAGACCTGGACGGCCGCCGGATTGCAATTTGTATACTAAAATAAACAACACATCTTTGGATTAAATCATTGTAATTGAGTACAATAACAAATTGATTAGAGGCAATTAAGGTGGTTATTAGTACGGTTATTGCGACATGCCAGGCTGTTCCCGAAACCATATGAAAAAAGAAAACCAACAGTGTATTTAGACAAATAATAATACAGACACAGTGTAACGCAACGTTGCCGTCTTGCCGAATTATTATCCGAAAAAAGAGCAACACCGTACGAACGTTTCGACACTATAAACCCCCCCTCACTCTCCGCACACTCGCGGCAGTTAAACGCCGGCCTTTATTGTGCTCGGTGTCCGTGTAAAAACAAAAGTTTCGAAATTCCATACGGTAATACGCCCACAGTACCACGGTGTCATTGGCGATATCACTGGCGGTCGAGAAAAAAAATTATCGGAAAAATTATCGCGGAACCGCGCGCGGATTCATCTGAAAGCGGAACGGAACGCCGGTGACGTTTTCCGCGCGATAAAAATTCTCCGCGCAACGCCGTCGCCTGTATTATTATTGTTATTATTTATCCACACGCGCGGGGATACGGCACCGCCACCGCGGCGTGTCAAAGACGCGGTCGACCCGTGTCAGACTCGGGTTAGGTCGGGTTAGGTTAACCTGTAACCGCGGTGGCGGACACAGATACACAATATTATTATTGTTACTATGCGTAACGCACGCCGCACCTGCTAGTCAGACGTCGGTTTCGATACTGAACCTCTTGATGCTGTTGTTGTTGAGCCTGACTACGGTGGCGCAGCTGTTGAACTTCCTGGGCTGCTGCGGCGGCGGCAACGCCGGCGGCGGTTCGTCCAGCTCGGTGTCCAGCAGACAATTTTCGGCCGACTCCAACTCCATCAGGTCCGACGTCGAATCGCCGCCCGTCGGATATTTCACCATGTGTTGACCTGCGGCGTGTACACGTTAACCGATTGTAATGTTATTATGTTGCCGCGCGGTCGGTTCGACATTGGCCACCGAACGAACGTCACGCCCAAAAACTCCATTTGACGTTTCGAATTAAAAAAAAAACAAAAAAAACAAAAAAAAAATACGTTTTTTTACTACCCGTTTCTCTAGTCGTTTCCGTTATTTCGAGTCGTCTTTCCCTTTTCTCGCGTCTTTCCTATCGTATCGTTCCTCGTTCCTCATTTTCCGAGGTTATACGCTCTTCAGCGTGTCCACCTATCCATCATTGCCCGGGACGGTATTCCGCGGATATTTCACTCTCGAATTTTCCCCGCCACCGGTAGTTTGTTCACCGCATTATCTCTATTTTACTATAACTCGCTCTTACACCTGATGGTTGGCTTTTCCCGGCGTTTGGCTTTCTGTACAAGTTCCTCGTTTGTTCTACAGTTCAGTATTTTTCGTTTTCCACACCGGGACCATAAGCACGTCTTAGAGTACTATTTCCTTTCAAAAGTCACCGATGGCTTGTCCTACCCTCAAACTCAAATAATTTAAAGTCCGCTACGATAATGCCGCACGCCAAAAGTTTCGTCACTTTGTACCTATATACCTATCTGTATATTATAATCAAATAATAACGCAAGGCACTTGAAAAACAAAACCCGTCAAAGAAGTTATTTGGATAGTGGGTTCGACGACCGCGCGACTTTGTCTACTGGATACCCGGTTTACGCGTATGCAATTTATTATATAATGCGATAATGGCATTTATGATAAGCTAGGGGCCGTCACGGGAAACGTGTCGGATGACAGTTCCCGTGGCGCGGCTGTTGATGCGGATACCCACCTAAAGTACCGGGAAGATAAGGGCAGCTGGTGACGTGGTTGAAGTTTTGCGATTGCATGTCTTCTTGGTCAGTCTCTCTGTGATAGAAATAGTTAAAGTTGGACACGATGACGGGCACGGGCAGTGCGATTGTGAGCACACCGGCAATCGCACAAAGTGAACCGACAATTTTCCCCCACACGCCCACTGGTCTGAAACACATTTGAATATGTCACATGTCGACGCGTTCTGGCGTTTTTACCATCGTTTTTTTTTTTTTTTTTTTTAAGTTTTTTCTAATGCATAATAATATTTTTATGTCTAATAAATAAATAAAAGGACTCAATGAAAAAAAAAAAATATTTATAATGAGCGTAATGATAATAACTATATATTAAATAAAATAATAATATATTTCAAATCTATAAAACGTTATTCACATCATGCTTTTTTTTTTCTTTAAATGAAACAAACATATTGTCTGTACACACGCACAGTCACAAGCATACAAACATACACACGAATACGCAATATGTATACTATTCAAGAAAATTCTTTGTTTGATAATTTTTTTTTTTTGCACACGCGTGTTAACTCAAAAAATAAAAAAGTAAAACGGTTCTCGAACAAAACGCACACGCCGTAAACCGTTTTAGATTCGTTTGTGATATGTTGTCTTCTCAGATATCACATCGTTGATAGTGTGATTGTGTGAAGCATTCACAAAAATAGGAAAGCTAAAAACGTATACACACGGCCGATGTCCGAGTTCAGTGAACTGGTGTACCAGTACGTATACGTACGTAGGTACAACAGGTGTCGAGAACAATATGCGGGTTTTCAAAAAAAAAAAAAAACCATATAAACGTCACTCATTATTCGAATTCCGGTGTAATATGATATTATTGTACGATAATATTATTATATAGTACAGCTTTCAAAGACGTGGAGAGACGTTCATATGTTTTTTTTTTCTTTTCCATTTTTAAATACATTTATGGTTTCACTGTAAGTATTAATATTATATATAGAGAAAAAAAAACATGCAATTATAACGCTTAAATAACAATAACACTTGTACTACACACGTAAGATTTTATTCGTCGATTCTATAATATATCGACTACCTAATAGAAATACGAAAAATGGCATGCGAAAAAAACGTTGGTAATGCGATGTTATGCGTGTGCGTGCGTGTGTGTGTGTGTGTGTGTGTGTGTGTGTGTGTGGCGATGTAGTGACGGTAAAGGATCTCTAATATCTTCGGTGCGTGAAACGAAAACAATTGTCGTTAAACAATTGCGCATGCAATACGATAATATTAAGTACATTAAAAGAAAAAAGCAATACGAAAGTAGTTTACGAGAAAAAAAAAAATAAACAGGTATAAAGTAATGATGTAGTAGTGTTATAATATATACGTAGGCACATGTAGTTTTGTTAAGGATATATGTGTATATGGTGACTATATGTGTATGTAATTTTGTTATAATATGCATAATCAGCATTGTCTATCTAAATTATATTAGTATATTATTTTTTTGTAATGGATTGAATAAAAACCAAAAAAAAAAAAATCAAAAGTTTAATCAAATTTTCTAAACTTTTCTCTATTTGACTATTCATATTAGTGATTATATGTCTAGGTCAACAGTAAAAAAACAAAAAACAAACAAACAGACGTTATGTTATTTTTGTTATCTTTACGTATCTAATGCCGTGATATTATATAGTTCTCCGATCGTGTTGATCTAAGATCGTATATTAATATTATTCGTTTTGTATCGGATCTACTCGTATAATACTTATTACTATTGTTATTATTACGGTTGATAATATTGTTATCATGTTATTCTAATGGCGATCGGAGAACAATCGGAACTAGTGCGGCCTATTTTATCGCTAAACGAAAACAGATTATTAATTATCATGGGCAATTTCGCGGTGAACCCTAATGGAGCTTACAGTGACAAGACGATACTATATATTGTATATATATATATATACATATATATATATATATATATGATATTAATCATAATAATTCAAGACGAACAAAGAATTTTCTTGTTCTAAAAATAATAAAAATCAAACTAAAAAAAAAAAAAAAAAAAAAAATAAACAACAAAAATGATAACGCGATATAATGGTCTCGAGAAAAAAAAAACTATGTATCGATTCTCTATCAAAATAATATTTGTTTACTATCGGTGGCACGTGTGTGTGTGCATTTTTTTTTCATATAATATTATATTTTCTATGCGCGGGATGCCTATAAAGTTTGAGGAGATTTCCAACGTTTGATATCCACGAGTAAAGCAACACGCATAAGATATTCCAAAAAGACATGAAACTGAGTTTGCTATACTTTGTTTCATAGAATTTCGACGGAAAATTTGATTTTGTAACTAATTTGTTTCAAATGGTATTAGAACATGCTTACATTTAACAAGCGTTTAAAGTAGCGGTGTCAAAAATTATACGATCCATTGGATCGTTTGAATTTCGATACTGCAGAAGACCCACGTCATTTTTGACATGATTATTATTTAAATAATAAAAAAATTCACATAGAACTATATCAACTATGATCCTTAGAGTAAAAATTCACATGTCCGGTCCCATAGAGTTAAAACTCACAGGTTCTAAATTTCAGCTTCAAAAAATTTTTAATAAAAATATTACTAAAATGATAACGTTTGATCACAGTTTTATGTTCCTCATCGTATAAATTGCATATTACAATTGAAAAATGTACATTTTGCTTTTAGCTTATTCATACGGATCGACAAAACGTTGTAGGAAATCTCTTAACTTTTTAGAACCCCTTTGCTATATAATTATATAAATATATATTATGATAATAATACATACATACACGCAAGATATTATGCCTAAGTAAATAACAATAATAATAGATTAACGAAAAAAATGTGATGATTTTTAAAGGCTAATATGGATATGACGTGTGTTTGCTTGTTATAAATAAATATTATATTCACATATGTATAATATGTCGTGTACGTATAATATGGGCGTAGGTAAATTGAGTTTCACATAAATATATCGTTTTCTGAAAGCGATAAATTAGCTCCCGTAGCTAAAAATGAAAACGGTACGTCGAAATAAAAATGAACGTATGAATGTAAAACGCATCAGATTCTATATTATGTTCATCTAGTATTCGGGTTAAATTTTCAGTAACATCAAATCGTACAACAAAAGTAATTGTGCGTTATTTCAAGATAAATAATATTTACTTAATAGGTAGCCCGCGACCAAATATTTGTATTTTAATAAATGCACTATTGGTTTTACGCGCATGCGTGACGTGGACACCGGAACGTAAAAGACCACTGGACAAACCGAAACAAAAAATGTGGATCGATGGACTAAACCAAGATCTCTAGATGTAATTTAAAATCAATAATCCGAACGAATTGGAAAACAATAGAAAATATCGAATAAAGCTTAGTGCGCAATAACGCAGGCCTTTGAATCTGAAGATTGATAGATAGAGTCGACGCACTCGGGAAATCCAATCGAATGGAATGCAAGTGTTCAAATAACAAACAGAAAATAAATGGTTATGAAGTCAAAACACAATGTAGAAAAAAAGAAAATAATATGTACCCATTAAAGGAACACAATATACTATGACAAAGTACATATGGAATAATAATTTACTATTACTAAAGGGTCAGATAATAGTCATAGTTTGAGGGGGGTAATTCATTTTTGGTGAGACTCTTTTACCGAAAACAATTATTGGTTTTTAATATTCAAATTTATTAATTTTTGTTCTGTTTATATTTTTTAGTATTGACGGTAGTCATCAATATCAGAATAGCCATATGTATTTTATATCGAAACGATACAAAGTGCGATTAGATAAAAAAAATCATCATCTATTAAGAGATATCATGAACAAATTGGGGCATTTTTACAAAACAAAACAATTTTTTTCTGAGAATAAACATATCTCAGTAAAACTAATAGATTGGTTGCTCACTGAGAAACTAGAAAAAGATTGAAAAAAAAATGATACTGAACTTTGTGGCGCCCTTCGCATTGTGACCCTGGTCTACAGTTCCCCCAATAGCTTCCACATAATTTACCTTAATTAAAACAAAATTCCCGAGTATTTGATTTTTATCTGGGATTTGATTTATCGCATTCAATTTCACAGAAACTCCAAGACTTGGACTATTTAAACTTGTTCAAAAACTTCTCAATTTACCATATATGCATAATATATTTATTACGTACACAATATATACAAATGTGTACATAACATATTATAATTATTATTGTACAGTCATATTATTATACTAATAATCTACGGCAGTTCGAAATTAGTGACAGCTTACACGATAATATGTTAATGACAAGCTATAACGATGTTAAAAAAAAATAATAATACGTGTTAAATATTTTATAAGAACGAGTATGAGTAAATGAAATAATAATAATAAAAAAAAAAAATAATACGTTTACGAAATACAATAAATTATTAATGTCTAATGCGATTTTGATTATTTTATTATTATTATTATTATTATTATTATTGTTAATTATTATTTTTGTTGTTAATTTTTTTTTTCTTTATTGTTAATATAAATCGCACTAAAATGTTAAGAAAATAATAATAAAAAAAATAAAATAATACATTTATATATATATATTTATATATATAAATATAAATATATATATGCAAATATCTATTAGTGAATAATAATAAAAAAAAAAAATTAAAAATATGGAAAAAAAAAAAATTTTAATAACTGTCTAATTTTGTCTTAATGAAATTGAGTACATCATACGTCATGTCACCATAGCCCACAGTCGTCATGGTAACAACAGCCCACCAGAATGCGTCCGGGATGGACTTGAAGAAGGAATTCTCTGAGCCGGCCTCGGCGAAGTACACCGCGCTCGAGAATAGCACCACACCTGAAATTCATTCGGATGGTGACTTATAAAAAAAAAAAAATATATAAAAAAGAATAACAATAAAAAAACAAAACAAAAAAAAATCATACTGATAATATTAAAAACTATAAAAAATAAACAAAATCATAATAAAAATAAAAAGATACGCGGTTCCGAACGGCTGCATCGATGCGACGACGATATTATTATGTCCCATACAACTATTTATAGGTATATAATTTTAGACGTGAATATCGTAGTTTTCGATCCCTACGATTATAACATTGCGCGGCGTACTTATAATAAATCATCGCAAAAATTAGGCATTACCTATCGAGTTTAGCGAGAAAACTATTTTGAGGTACTTTTACCATCTTATCAGGTACGGTAATCTTTTCGTTTGTGGTCACAATAATTTACTAATCTCGTCGCTTAAACATTCTCTCATGTAGACAACACAGCTGCAGTGAGTTTTCACCTTCTCACAATATTGTGTGTACGAGCATGTGTATGTGTGTGTATTTGTGGGTGTGGGTATATGTGTGTGTTATTGTGTCGTTAGGTCAGTATATAGTGGTAAAGTGGTGTATGATGATGGTAGTGGTAGTCGTGGTGGTGGTAGTGGTGGTGGTGATGGTGGTGGCGGGTATTCCTGGTAGCTCGCATTTAGTTACCTCATGTCACCGTATCCGACTGTCGTCATGGTGACCACGGCCCACCAGAACGCGTCCGGGATGGATTTGAAAAACGACTGATCGGAACCCGCCTCGGCGAAGTACACGGTGCTCGAGAACAGCACCACTCCTGGAAAACAACACGCTCAGAGACAATGTCAACCCCCTTACGAAAAAAAAAAAAAAGAAGCAAAAAACCAACAATCTTCCCCCATCTCCCCCCCCAAAAAAAAAAAATCCCCGAGACCGAAAAGAATAATATTGTGCCGCAAGAGTCCGACGACTTTACACGCAAGTTCGTTTTTCGATGTTAAATTCTGGTATAGCCGCCGCTTTTCGCGCGTCGAAATATAATCGTGTCAGTTAGGTCGCGCGCGCCCGCGGTCACGTTTACCATCGGATTTTCCGAGCTTCGTGCGCAGCGCCGGAGCCGAGAACATTTCGAAATCGTGGTCAGGCGTACCAGATCAGTTGTTTAGCCAACGAACTATTATTTTCAAACTAACCTAGCATACAATGTTCTTGTCGTTTGGCGGCCCTATTTTTTCCGTGTCATTAAATCGGCTCGGATCGTAATTTTCTAATGAAAATAAATGATATCACTGTAAATACGGCCGCGCTCTCGTATAGAAGCGCATGTTTATAATTCGTATTGTGCGTATCGCGTAACCTATTATTCCTATTGAAGTGACCCGGCGAAACAGTTGGCTGGCCCCACTTAAACGGCCGCACTCCCATTTGAGATTCGAGTTGGCGCCTCAGACTCGAATATCCGAATCGAAAATAGCAACATTTTTGAAACGGTCGTGGTGCGTCGGACCGTCGACCACCGCCGTCGTTGTCGCGGAATTGTTGTGTACTCAAAACGCGACGTTTCGGGCTGTAATGGAACGAGACTCGGTGGCGCATTCAACACGGCGAATGAAATGAGCGCACCGGTGTACTGTGCGCTGTACAGTACGAGAAAAAAGTTGACGTAAATAATCACGCGTACACAGACAAAATACCGTATAGTACCAAACGGTACGCTTCGAGCGTGGCCGTAAAATTGCATTCAAAGGACACCGTATCATGTCGGTACATTTACTCGCCAAGACTGTTGTTGACGAAGCGGTAGGCGGGTCCTATAAACAAATTGTCGTTTGTCGCCGTAGTGAATTTTTTGTATAGTTTGGCGCCAACGGTTGAGAGACGTTTATATTTCATTCGCGCGGGGGGTGGGGGTGGGGGGGGTTTAAATGCGTACGGTAATGGTATGGCGGCCGACCGACTCCGCGGTGTTTCGGCGCCACGAGATTTCCTATCCGATTTCCTTGACCGTGTTTCCCACATGTATAATATACTACCGCGTCCGATACCGCGGTATAAGTCGTGAGTATTGCGGTGCGCGATCGGTTTCCGAGCCAAATCCGAGCGCACTATATTATCATACGCACGATATATTACGGTCTTCGGCGTGGCGCGAAAACCGGACGTCACGCGGTTAGACGATAAATCCGCATTCATCCCCGACCGACCGAACGCTGGCACGATGGCGTAAAAACAACGCACGATTTACAAACTCTATATAAATATATATATATATTTTATGTTGCGGACTCAAAAGCCTAAATCTGGCAAACCGCTACGTGCACGTAGCGGAATATCGTTGCAAAACACCGGAATACGCGGTTCATATACGACTATAAACGGACAACAATAAAAACGTCGTCGTCAAAAACCGAGGGGAAAAGGAAACGTCGCCAGTAAGTATGGCGGAGCTCGAGTACAGTAGAGGCGATTCTCCTCCCCCTCCCGTTTACACGTCATTTTGTACGTGAGAAATACAGTGGGTAAAGTGGGAAAAGGCACTATATTTATTGAAAATTGAAGGGCGTTCCCGAAAACTAATTAAACATCACGGAGAAAATAGACTTCCAAAATGTTTTTCTCACATGCGCATTTGTTGATAAAAATACGTATAGGGTGAAAAATAAACTGCATTCGCCCTCCCTCTCAAATATTATCCTACGCATATGCCTGCTCAGTAAAAGTTAATTAAAGCAGAGTCTGATTGCGTATAGTCTAATAGGTATTAAAGAATTTGCCTCGAGTTTACAAAGTTTTATTAATAATGTCTCAATGAAAATAACTAAAGCGTCCAAATATATTCTTTGTAACCGAATAAGTATATTACGATACATAATTAATTAATTCGAGTATACTACATCCAAAAAAATTGTGACATTTCAACTCTCATCAGAAAATCGATCCTTGATACTAACGCAACTTGTATGTACACAAATTGAATACCCTAGCTTCATTTAGGGGAGGCCTGTGAGGGAGTTTGAAGCTAAACAAATACCATACTTCTACAATAACATGCTGAAAACCAACCTGACCTTTATCACTTTAATCCGTCCATAAAACAAATCGAATTCTCGAGTTTGAACTCATTTCGTTTAGAGCCGTCGATGAAAATAATGTATGTCGGGAAAATGTCTAAAAATCAATAAACCAATAAAAACGTACTTATAATCGTATTAACTTGTACATTATGTAGAACACCAACTGCGTTATGACGTGTATTTGTCTGTTTTGCCAACCGAAATCATACGAGTTTCATTCGATGACAAATTCGATAAACGTATCGGTATTATAAGAAAGTACACGACGCGATCGATCAAATAAAAATCAAATAGACCCCGTATTTACTTATACAGCGGGCGGCCGTGTAAAGAAAAAAAAATAGGGGTCATTGCCGAAATGTCAATAAAAACTTTGCGGAACCAAGCAACACTATTCGGGGTTAAGTAATTGACTATGAAAAAAAAAAAAAAAAGATTCCCTCGCAAAATTTCGCGCGATCGTGATAACTTATAGATACACCGCGATTTTATCCGGAATCGAGTCAATCGAATTACGCCCGTCATAATTTATGTCTTGTAACCAGACTATCGTTTTACAGTACGTGGAAATCTAAACGTCTATCGAATTTCCAAAATACGATATTCCACAAATATTATACGACGACACCGGGGAACGAACGAAACGGAATGATATTATATTAAATTCACGGAGACCGAATTTCAATAGTAACATTCAAAAATTCATCAGTTTGCGTCGTACTTAAACAGGGTGATTTTTTTTTTATCATGAACAAGCAATTATCTCAGAGGATTTTAAATGAATTTGATTTTTTCTAATCATCATGGAATCGTTTAAGCTTTATTTTAAAACCATTTTAAATGTTTACCAATAATCCGTGTACCTTAAATAAATGTATACTCTTGATTTTAAAATAGGAACTCCCACCCCTCTTTTAAATACAGAATATTTTTCTAGAAATTTTGAAATGCTTCGAACTAATATCAGATTTACCGTTTATGAGTTAAACAGTTTAAAGTTTAGACAAGAGGAGTAGGGAAGGGTAATAAATTGCTTAGAAAAAACAGAAATAAAATTTACTTAAAATCCTCTGAGATAATTGCTGGTTCATGATAAAAAAAAAATCATCCTGTATATATAGTTTGTTTCTCGTTACGTTTTTTTTATCCCGGAAAGTATTATTCGAAATTTTCAACCGCGACCTATCACAATAATATCGTCTAGGTACATAGTATTTTTTTTATACGACATTGTCACGATATGACGCCGTATAAACGCTCTTTGGGTATAAAATGTTCGGTTTCTACGTTCAGTCTTGGCGGTTAAACATGTACGCGAATTTATCGCTAAAGTATGACGAATTGCGGTTCCGGTATAGGCGCGGCGTCGGTTGTATTTTTGCGCGCTTCGGGCCGTTTTCCGTGAGTCACGGGTCCCGTCGTCGACTGAACGGAGACCGCGCACGCGCCCCGCCGGCCGCATAATTTCATAACTGGGCCGGTTTTCTTCAATGACGTTATTCACGTAAACCCCGGACGGGCTTGACGTCACGATCGCGATCGCTACCGTAATATACGCTGACCGGGCACGCGTACCTATACGCGAGACACCCGTGCCGCAGGAGACGGTATCCATGGCGACGGGGCTGGTCGCGCCGCCGTCCTGTTCAGCTCGTACACCTCAATGCGTGTGTGCGCGCGCGTAACGGCATAATACTGAAGCGGCGGCGGCGTGGCCGCGGCGGACAGGTGAACGGTATCGGTGGCGTGAAAACACACCAATGACGTCACGGGCCGTTCACGTAACGCCGCCGCCGCCGCTGCCGCCGCCTATCCGGCCGGTCCGACGCACCGAACGGACAACAGCGACGGTGTTTATACGACGGAAAACAAAACAATTTTCAAGAACCACGTTTACGGACCGCACGTATAATCACGCGATCGGATTTCCTTCGTTTTCTGAAAATATCGTCTTCTGCCCCCTCGCCTTCTTCGCAACTATTCGGAGTCGGCCGCCCGCGTCGTAATAAACTTCCGGTTGACCCGATCTCCCACAATGTCACCCTCGCGTACACCGGCTGCCCCCGTGTCGTTCTCAATCACGACCGATCGCCTTTTTTCCGGTCTTCCTCATTCCGTCCTCCCCCCTATACGTTTATTTCAATTACCGTGCATAATCGCTTCCGCTCTACTCGTACCGCGTCCAAACCGTCTCGGTCTATTTTCTTTCATATTGTCTACAATCGAAGCCGATGGATATCCACGGGCGTATTTTATACATACTCTTTCCTAATCCTGTCCGCTCCGCCATTCCTCCACTCATTCCTCTACCGAAGCATTCTTACTCATTACCACTACACACATTCACTGTTGTATTTTTCTGACTTCCGTCCGAACCGTATTATTGTAATAAAGTCGGTCTCAACACACTCTATTGTAATTATAATATATATTTTTTAAAATATATTAGTATAACATTTAACGAAAAACATCCAAGTGCTCAATAATATGGCTCATGACATAACTATAGGTATAGCTATTGAAAATAAATTACCATTTAGATCATTTTATTAGCGTTTATTTTATAATTTTCAGTTATATTTTTTACGGAGAAAATAGAAATTCCGACCACGGATTATTTATATTGTGTGGGTCATTCAAACAAAAGACATTAGAGACATTTTTCAATATTTTGACATTTTTTCCAAAGTCATACGCGGTTTAATGGGATAAAAATGGAAAATCAAAATTTTCAAGTCGATAGGACCGCGAGAATTGGGTCAAAAATCGATCGTATACATTTAGAAAGAGTTCACTTCTTCGCGAGCAAGTTAATAATGTATAGAGCAATAAGCACGAGAGAAAAAACGGAACTAACAATTTTGGCCAAATTCTAATAACTTACAATTATTTTGTCTATTTTGGCATGTGTAGTTTTGTCATTTCGATAAAAACTATACAAAATTTGTTTGTTTATTTTTCTTATACTCGAACTATAATTTATGACCGGACAATGAGATGAAAATATACTCGAAATTGGACGCAATTGGATGCGTTCGAAAAATGGATAATCCCATTTTTATAATCTGGCGGATGGCTTTAGTCAATTTACGTCAAATCTGGTCTGAAATGATGTAAAATTTGCACCAAAAATGTCAAAATTATTTATTTGTGATTTGTACCAAATTAAGATAGCTAAGTAATTTGCACCACCACGGAAAATAGAAAATATATGTCTTCGTAAGAAAATTTTTCCATCGATATTTTTTCGATTGTACGTGTACGAATACAACAAAATATTGAGCAATTAAGTGAATTGCAGAAACGTAAAATAAGATTCAAAATAGTTAAAATTAAACTCTTTCTGTGATAAAAATCATAGTTTCCGACCAACAGACAATGAGACATTTCATGTTATCACTTGAAAACATTTTTTCGGAACATTCATTCGCTCGCTCGGCGCTAACGAATTATGTTTTTCCTTTTTGTTTTCTATGCTTAACAATTCGTTTTGTTATATTATGAAATGTTTTCGCTATGATTTCCTTTCAATACAATCGATTATCGAAGGGTAGTCATTTCGGTGAAAATCGCACAATCTAAACTTCGGTGCAAATTACAGACTGTCCCGGACGGTCACAGGCCCGCCTACCGCACCAGGAGGCTTTTTCGACCCGCGGTATACCGTTGCGTCAAATGGGTTTTTTTTTGTGGTCAGGGAGCGGAGGGAGACGATAAGACGGACACTGTGAAATGGAAAAAAAAACGTTTCCCATGCCGCGACGACGTGCGTGCGGTTCTTTTTTTGCCCGCCGAAAAAGTTAAAATCAATAAGCGGCGAACTCGCGCGACGGCGGCGCGTGGTTGAACGACGACCCACCGCGGCCAGGGTACCGCGACCGCGGTATCTCGGGAGTCCCCGACGATGACGACGACATCCGGTCACCCGAGGACTGGAAAAAAAAAAAAAGATTCTCGGAGTGTCTCGTATTATTTTTTTTGACACGATCAATCGCAAAATTTACCGAGATTGATTTTTTTTTTTTGTTGTTTATTTATACCAATATTAACACGTGGTGGTTAGAGTTTCGACGACGACGTGTAGTCTGTATACGGGAAGAATTGAGACCGTTTCGAGATCCGAGAGATTTGCACGCGTTTCGGGCAACACCTCCGCCGACGTTTTAAAACGGGAAATCCTTTTCGCGGCGTGAGCACGTTGTATAATTAGATACAATCCCCGCGTTCTTTCACCCCGCCCTTCCGTGATGTTTGTCAGATGTGACGGTGATAAGCGGTTACCGAGCGATCAAAAATGTCCCCTAATTGCGAATTTGGAAATTCGCGACACTAATACCGCACAGAGATTATCCCGTCTTTAAATAAGCGTCGTCCAAAACGATTTAACGGTGTCATCATCAATATTGTAACAGGCAACAAGACGTACTGTTTTATAGAGAATAAATGAAAAACAGAAAAAAAAATGAAAAAATAAAAAAAAAAAAAATGAAAAATGAAGAACTACTGCAAATAAATATTACGTCCTGTAATATTATGTTGTACAACGAAAATTAACAACAGTTATGAGTGTATAATTTTAGCTACGTCTAGACTGTAATAAAAATCTAGTTTAGGTATACATTTCTAACTCACGGTCTACATAATAACATTATAATAATGAATATAAAATCGGATCACTTAAAAACAATAATCGCCCTGATTTTTGTCGCTGTTAACACTTAAATAATAATAATATACCGAACATCGCCGGCTGACTTGTTTTCACCTTTTTGAATTTTGAGTTTTCCCGCAACACTGCCGCAATTCGGTACCGCGATATTTATTTGAATTCGAGTCTCAAAAAAACGAATTCAAACAAATACCGTTTAGAACCTAAAAAATGTAATACCTATATTATAGACAAAGTTGGATTTTTTAAATCCAGTTTTTGAAGATTTTGGACTTCAATTTCCAAAATCATTTGAAAATAACGGTCAACGGCGTTAACCGTGATAGGGGTATACGATCCTGTCTGCGTGACGATACTGTCTGCAATACATTGATCTATCTATAATCGCATCAGATAAATATTTATGTTTAATAATTACAATCTACAATACATATTATTTTATAATAATTTAGAGTTGTTTTTTTTTTTTTTTTATCAACTGGTATTCCTTTATTTTTTTAATTTATAAAATATTCCTGATTCGTAACATAAATAGTTGGCTATAAAAATGATATTAATAAGCATGTGATAATAATATTTGTACAGTATTATTATAATTCATTGATTATTGTTAATCGACTAATTATTACTTGCCTTATTTTTTATTAACTATTTAATATTTATAAATTATCATCGGTATCATTTTTACTTCGTGTCGTATCACTTAATTTGTCGATTGTCTATACATTTTAGAGATTGGATTTTATATTAGTATTTCAGATTTATCATTTTTAAAAAGATTCGGCATTTCGATTTCGAAAATCAATTTTTAAATTATTTTATTTGTTGCTGGATTATAGGTTTTTCAAAACCTGGACCATTGGTTATTTCACTGCAAGCGTTACCACACCAAAGAAATTCTGAAATCGGCTGAACGAATTTGGGAATTTGGAATTTTCGCGAAAACCGTTGGAATAATGAAAGAACAATCGGCGTTAGCATATTATACAAAATGTCGGTCCGTGGATATCGATAACAGATCAACCGCAATAAAATCACGTTACGCGTTCGGCCATTTTCTTAACGTAATATTATATAGGTTCTTTAGTTAATAGTAATCAAACGGCGGCGCGGACAGTATTGGAAAAGTCAAAATCCAAAAACCGAGTTGTACATTATTTAAATAGGAATGTACGCGATGGGCGATGCTGGGAAAGAAAATATTATAGAATTGGTTCCTGTATCAAAAAAATAAAATACAAATAATAACAATAATGTACGAATCGATTTTCGGTGAAAATAGTGCACAGCACCATAAATATGTTCGAATTGGTTCCGCGTGAAAACAGGTTTGAATGATAATATTTTAACCGCGGTGAAATGTAGAGAAATTGAGTAAACTCCGGGTAACCGATCTCGAGTACGAACTTTTACGTAGGTTTTCCGGACAGTCGTAGTGAGCCTGTACAAAATGGGAAGGAAGTCGCGATGGTTTTTTAACGACATTGATCGGGCCCCTTGTTGCGCGAACGTTGTAACAGATTTTTGAATTTTTATTCGCGCACGATAGGTCGCGTGTACGGCCGACGACGTTATTATTACGGCTAAAGCGGCGCCGCCGCACGGTCGTCTGCCGGCGAGTCTCGACGATGGCGACAATGTAAAAGTGTATTCTAATGCGGAATCTTTTAAAAATTTCGTTTTATCGACAACGTTCACGTCCGCCGCACATAGAAGCGTAAAAAAACACGTCGGTGTGCGTGTGCGTGTGAGTGTGTGGCCGTAGACTTTTGCCAAAAGTATCGGTCGGTATACGCCGCGTAGTGCAGCGAAAAAGACGACCCGGGGTTATTTATTTCGGCGATTGTCGCCCGCGCACATAATAACACTCGTGCATAACGACCGCTATAAATCGAACGACGACGATGACGAAATATTTGTGGCGATTCTTTTTTTTTTTTTATATATATAGTTATAAATGTGTCGTCTAAATGGAACACGTACCGTATGGTATACGCTATTCGGTAAACCACTTGACGTGCACCGACGAAACTTTTAGACGGCGCCTATATTGTTATTATTATTATTATTATTTTTTTTTTAACGTGGTTTTTTATTTTCTATGATTCAATCGATTTCGGTAGTTAACACGCGCGTAACGATCGCCTATTTATAAATGTCGATTCGGTTAATTTGTTATGCAGTGCCACGGTTATCTTACGAACTAAGTATAGGTATTTATAATTATAAAACACTTGCAAGTTTTAGCCTGTTTGGAGTGCGCTGTTATTCATTTATACGTTCCAATATGTCTGTTTTCAGTTTACACTAACTCAAAATAACAGTTATAATGTTTTGATTGATAACAAAACAAAACAAATAATAATAACAGTAATTATTATTATTATTATTTTGTAATTGGAAATTTGAAAAGAAAAAGATACAATCGTTTATTATACACGCGTAAAGACGAAGGGCAACTTTGGAAATAGTTTTTGAGAATGAAATGCGAATCCATAACAGCCAAAAAACGTCAAATTCGAAATATTTGGGTAAAATATTTTGGGTTGTAGTACAGTAAATGCATGAGGAAAAATATATATACTCGTACATTTTCGACTTGGTTCCCACAAAGACAAGGTTTGAATTCAAAAAAACATAAAGTTTTGCACCCATAGAGAGCGACTACGTAATTAATTCGTATTCGGCGCATCTCCTCTATTAAAAAACGCATTTCGATTAATAAAATAATGATTTTCAATACTACAAATGCTTTCGGTTTTTCGACCGCCATTTTTGAATTTTTTAAAACTAATATCATTATCTTTTTTAGCATGCGTTTTTCTGTAATTTAATACCACACACGATTTCTAATGATTGGTTTTAGTTTATTTAAGATGGTGGCCAAAAACACAAGTTTCGCACACTCAGATTTTTCTATACTTTAAGTATGTCAAAAAGACACAAACGAAGGACTGAAAAATCTAAATTGCACTACTGATGAAAATCTGTATAGCTTGGCATAGAGATAGTTTTATCATCTCGTTTAAAAAAAAAAAAAATCACCGTCAGAAATTGAACAGATCGCGTGAAACGAAATATTTTGTATTCCTATATCACACATTTACATCGAAGCGAAATAAATCGAACAGAGTTCAAAAATCGCGAGTGTGACTGTACACGCAAATCGACGGTTTGCAGGCTTTAACGCTTTTGGGGCTTCTCAATTGAGCGGGTGCGTAGTATGCGATTCATAAACTTTTTTTTTTCTTCTGTTGACAAAAATACGTAACCAAAACAAGTAACCGATATCGCGGAGGGTATGGGGAGAAAACAAAATACCCGTGGCTGATCGAAGAGCCGTTTGACGATAAAGGCGACTACGGTGGAAGGATATCAAATTAAATCGCAGCAGTTTTCGAATAGGACGTTGGATCACAGATTATTTTTTTTAAGGTTATGAATATGGTAAAAACACAAAATAGACTGAAAAACTGTTTTTACACGAGAAATGTGTATACCCAAAACGAAAAAATATACAGGATCAATATTTCCGAGGCAATCTCGCGTGTGATTTTTGAAATGCAATCGACAAAAAAAATACTAGGTAATGAGATTTAAAAAAAATAAAAATAAAGTATTTTGGTATTTATAATACATAACGCGAGGTTATTCAAAATGATTCATCCGATTTGAAATGCTTGAATATTTTTAACTTTTAAGTTCATAGTAATATATTATGATATGTTAAAAAAATTAATATTTGAGATTTAATTACACTGGTACCCAGGGCCAATCCTAGGGTCCTAGGGGGTTGCGAGAGGTGCTATAACTGCACGATCAATGGCAATTTTTAAAATTTTGTAATTGGATATTTTTACAATAGACGTATGAGTGAACGCCTAATGGATAGATTTAGTTATTTTTTTGTTCATTGGTAAATTTTTCTGGTATCGAATACCGATTTCGCTAGGCACGGCACTGATGGTACCAATAATTTATCGATGTTCTAAGTAGCTATAATGTTGGTCAAGTACGCACAACATATAGTCAGATTACGTTGAAAATTATCTCTTATCCTTCCCACATCCAGGCCGAGGTGGCATTTATGTTTTTCACAATAACTACACCCGGTTTCTTCAAATAACTTTTACCATCGGCGGATGCTCTCAGAATTCAACGCATCGATTCCGTAATAACTACGTAACCCGTACTGTTTCTATCGATTCATATTTTGAAAATCGCTTTGTTTTTTCCGGAAATATGCGTATTATCGTAACTGATAATGTCAATCAAGTTAATTAACGTTATTATAAAATTATGGATTACTTGAGGTAGGCTCAGGTGGGATACACTCGCTGTTTCCCGGTTGATATTAATTAGAACCCCAACAAATATGAGTACCTGCAACTATTAAAATTTGAATCTTCGAATGTAATACCACTTTATGACGGCCCTGCGGGGATCTTATGTATTCAAAATGTATATGGCTTGAACAAACGAAGTTCATAAACTAGTATATTCTTCAACGCTTTGTAGACAAATTTTGATATTAAATGTTTAATTTGTAGTTGTTTAACTTTCTATATTATAGTTTGTATTTATTCTAAAATAAAATAATATATTTAACTCTAATTTAAATTTGAATACAAATTTAAATTCAAAAGTGAACGTAAACATGAATATCAAGAAAGATAGCACAAATGATACGAATAGTATTCATACATAAACAATCAAGCCTTTTATATTTCTAAGTCGGTGTACCTAGATTTCGATTTTTCAGCTATTTAAGTTTTTTAAGTTATATTTCGAAGTTAAATCACCTGGGAAGAATTAAAACTGACCGGGCGCAGGCCTACCCACTTTTCTCAAAATATAAATGTTCAATAAATTATGATGTATTAAATCCTTATTTTTATTTGGATCTAGTATGTTTAAATTGTTCCGCGAAATAAAAAAAAATGTAAAACTAAAAATTTGTATTAATGGTGTTTCTCATTCAAACACAGAGAGCGTACCCAAAAAAATATATTTCTGGGATGAATCCTTTTGAATAACCATGTATATTATTCCTACAATGCATGAATATTTTTTTAAACTTTTTTAGTCCATTGAGCATTTTTATTTACAGGGAAAATAAAACTTTTTTTTAAAAATCATTTTTAGATAAAAGTCATTTTTTACATTGCTGCCGGTAGTTAACATCATGCATTGTAGGGTTAAAGTCGTACTTTTTCTTATTTATATCTTAATAGATGTAAGTCATTTTGAAAAGTATTCGTTTCAGTTTGGTGTACATGAACACAATTTTCAAACAAATCGCATGATACCACAATGCAGACGACTATATACTTGCGACGATGTGAAACTTGCATATCGATTGGTTCGAAGGCGAGTTTGGACGTTTTTGAAACGAACAATTTTGATATTTATTTTCCAAACGTTCCTTTAAGATCACCTGACTATTATATTATGTATCCGTAATAAAACGCGATCCCTTGAAACATACCCCGACGACCTCTTAACAATATTATTATTATCTCTACCGCAACAGCGGTCCTACGATAATAGGTAATCGTTCGAGAAAAATCGCGTGCGTACGGTAGCGTCACGAAAATCTTGAACCCGCCAAGAGGATCGGGAGAATCTAATCGAGACCGGGAATATTTGGGACGGCGCGTGGCGGGGCGGTAAAATTAGCGGGGCGCGCACGCGCTCACGGAAAGGTCAGGGGAAACTGAATTCGAAAGTTGTAAGTAATGAAAGAGCGGCGAGAGTATATATAAATATATTTATAAAGAGAGAGAAAAAATGGTATCCGTGCGCGCGATCGGGATGGTGGGGGAAAGGGGTGGCCGACCTACCGCGGACGGGTGTCAATCGATAAAATGACACGTCGGAATGTTGCAATTATTATTATACTTTTTTTTTTCGTTTTGCCCGTCGCCGTTATCGTCGTCGTCACCGTTGTTTTCTGTATACACGCGCGCGCGCAAAAAAGTAAAATTACGCGATAAATTCCCATAAAATCGTGTGATTTAGAACCATGAAAATGACGAGAATTGTAATTTGATATTGCATATGTATTGTTTCCTGCGATCGGATTTATGTATTGAAATGTACACTCGACATTCGAGTACATTTCAAAAACGTCTTTCACAAAAGCCGCCACGCCGTCTCCTGCGGTCGTCAACGACCCCAGCCAAGATCTCTATGCACCTATCTCTCTCTCTCTCTCTCTCTCTCTTTCTTTCTGTCTCTCGTACCTCGCACACACTCTGTCTGTCTAGTCTTAAACGATTCCCGAGACGGTGTGATTTCACGTAAAGTTCTCGCCCCCGCCTCGTCCGTGTCTATGACGGAACCTCTCATCCTCGTTCCTTTTGTCGATGCCTATTTCCGCCGCAACGGCACCCGAACGGCAGATTACGACAACGGCGACGGCGGCGGCGGCGGCATACCGGATCGCGAGCGCTGAAGACCTGCGGGCGACAAGCGACTGCGGCTGCGCTCCGACGGCGGCGGTTCGGCCGTCTCGGATTAAAGTCTTACCGATAAACAAGAAAAAAATGAGCAATCCCAGTTCTCGCATTGAGGCTTTCAACGTGCGTCCGAGAATCTGCAACCCCTTGGAATGTCGGGACAATTTGAATATCCTGAAAACCCTCACGAGCCGGATCACCCTGAGAATGGCGAGCGACATGGCCTGGTTGGTGCTCTTGTCCTGCGGGTTCTGCGGCGCCTTGGGCAGGTTCATCGTCGGATCCTCCTCTTCGGCGATGACCGTGGCGAGCGTGATGAAATACGGTATGATGGCTATTATGTCGATCGTATTCATCACGTCCTTGAAAAAGTGCAACTTGTTGGGACAGGCTAGAAAGCGGACGGACAGCTCAAACGTAAACCACACGATGCATATAGTTTCGATTAGGAAGAACGGGTCGGTGATGTCCGGCACCTCGTCCTCTTCGATTTTCGTGCCGTTCGTTGTTGTGTTAAACACTTTGTAGTGTTTGAACTCGGGCAACGTTTCCAGGCAGAATATCACGATGGACAGCAATATGACGAACACAGATATGATGGCCACCACTCGGGCGGCTTGCGAGCTCTCTGGATACTCGAACAGCAGCCACACCTTACGTTGAAACTCAGGTTTTGGCAGTGGTTTCTCTTCTTCTTTAATAAAACCCTCTTCTTCCCTGAAAACAGAAAAACGAAAAAATATAGGTATATGTTTTTACGGTACACAATAATGAATATCAATCATATTCGAAATAGTGCGGTGTTTTTAGCTCGGTATCAAGTACAGATGCAAGGAACACGTAAAGGAAAAATTTTAATCATTTCGACCAAAAGTTTTTGCAAAAATTTTATCAAATTCGTTCGATATATTTGGGAAAACTAACGTGTTGTAATATTATATTAGTTCAATAATTTTTTTTCCTCGAGGGCAGAAACTTCTGTTCTGATAATTAGGTATTTTAAAATTTCTCTAAGTGTCGAATACAAATTAATAACCGACTGTACTGCACCTGAAACGGGATGCGTAATGAATAAAGAAAAGATAAAAAAAAAAACAACACATTAGTACATTTAAATATAGACCGAATAATAGAATAAAAGTATAAAGTGAAAATAGGAAATAATGAGCAATTTTGTGAACTGTGCAAGATTACGTCTCGTTTAGAATGCGTTTAGACCGCTTCGGCGCACACAGCTATTTTAATTGAAAGTCATAATTTTCGCACATATAAAATGATTTTGAATTATGTTCGAAAATAAAGTTTAAAACTCTGTTTATTATTTTTTTTTCTGTGCGTTAGTTTTATTATTATTATCTTTTACGTTTTTGTCTCAATTTTTGGGTTAACGAACTGAGAATTAAAAAAAAAAAAAAAAAAAAAAACAATACTAATAAAAAAAGGACCTCATTAAAGTGCCATTTGTGTTTATAGTTATGTATCTATGTATATATATATATATATAGTTACTTCGTGAAACTTTTTTTATGATTGTTTATTACTTCAAAAAGTAGAAAAAAAATAAGTCAGAAAACAATAATTTTAAAATGTAACATATACTGCTCTATACTAATAAAGTATAAATTGTTTGGAATCGTTACAATAGTATACAGGGTGAACAATCCTTGTAAAGACACTCATTATCTGGGAGTGTTAATTTTTTTTCTCGACAAATTATTAAATAATATTATTCAAAATTGTGACTCTATCATAAACAGTATCAATTTTTAAATTTTTTTTTTATTCAGAAAAATACGATTTCACAACATAAATATATGTAATATTTCGGACTTTTGTATTTGTACATTTTGCTGAAAATCAATTCGTTCGTGAATTTGAATACGACAAATCCGCAAAAGATACGCTGAGGAAAACGAAACGTTGACAGCCAAAGTTTACGTGTTTGGGTCGAAGAAACAAAAAACCTACGACCGTTTTATTTTATCGGAAATATTCGCCGTGTCGTACGTCGAGTAGCGTATAGCAAAACAAATTACTATTATATGTATCGACATCTTTACGGGATGTGTTATAAAATAATTTCGCGGAGGAAAAAAAAAATCTGCGGACGCGCGTGAAAAGTCGTCACGGATTTATCACGTTTGGATCCCTATCGTCTAATAAAGACAAAATTTATTTGCCGAGGAAAAAAATTCTACGGTTTCCTCGTCCGTAAAAGTATAGTCTCGGGGAACGACGACGGCGGCGACCTCCAAAACGATTGGCGTAGCTATTTTGCCTATCCAGTGCGCCGGCCATTGCGTTTAATATAATATTTTATCTATTTATTTATTATTATTAGTTTTTTTTTGTCATTTACCTACAACGATATAAATCAACGCGGGCGGTTCCGCCGTTTTCATCCGAAATCTCCATGCAGTCATTTGCTCCCCGAACGTCCACCGTAAAATCGATAACGAACGCGTAGAGCTCGCGGCTCTCTCCATCACATTGTTCGAATATGTACCTTTTTTTTTTTATATATATTTGTATATTATTTTTTACGCGCGTCCTCACAAATTACCTTCCGTTTTTCCCACGTATAATATTTCAAATCATAAGTATACTTTACCATTTGGCCCGTGGTAAAAGAAGGAAAATTTATACGTAGAGGTGGGCGACCGCGAACGCAAAAAACGTTATACGAAGAAATATTGTTATGGTATTCGAAAACTGAACGAATAATTACGAGACGAAAAAAAAAACAACTGTGAACAGCAGAGGTATGGAGTAGAATTTCGTACCACGAAACCGAAAATATTATTTGCAAAAATGATGAAATTTGAGCGTAAAAATTATAGTAGTCGGGGTTGGAAGTAAAAACACTCGAAAGGCACATCCTAGATATCAACGATGTGCACATATTAAATTTCATCTTTAAAACTTTATTTGGAGAGGGGGGGAGTAAATTTACAAGATGTGTAAACTCGTAGCGTAATAAAGTTTTAATTCTGCATCGGAGGGAAATATCACACAAACAGAACGATCGGTGACCCAACTCAGTAGCGACAACACTGACCGAGCAGCGGCGTTTAGCAATGATTCTTTCCTGATCTCAAAACACGAACGCCGTGTCGCCGTTTGTTGCTGAGATTGTTTTAAATTTTGAAAATGTATTATTAAAATAGTGGTGGCTTGTATCTCTAAATGAAACTGCTCGGTTTGTCTTGATGCTATACTGAGTTGTGGCGTCTATCATTCTATCAAGGTAATCTTACCCTTCGATGCAATACTACCGACTTTATCGTTACAATTTTCCTTATTGCTATAAACACGAACACGAGTTGCCTTTCGAATCTCCATCGTATATATGAGCGTGTTATTATTTCGGTATTCGATTATTTAAAATTTCCCGTCAAAATATTGTGGTCGAACGTAGCTGAGTATAACGAACAATATTGTAAAATAAACGACGCGATTTCACTCGACCATTAAACGGTATAAATAAAACATATTTTCGAGGCCGATCCATTCAATAAGGAATAATAATGATACGACGACGAGAACATTTTTGAATAATCACGACGACTACGCCGTATATATTACAATAATAATATATTTATGTATACGTTTCGTTTAACGCCTGCACGCGGGGTAATAGTTTTGAAAAAGTCGCATCATCAATCGTGTCGAACGCGAAAATGAAGGATGTCTAAAAACGGGAGAAAAAACGAATTTCATATCTTTTTGCCGACATCGTATTATTATACAGTAACCGAAATGAGAAATAAATGTCTCCATGGTTATTATTCGAAACTTTAGATTTTGAATGTAAGTATAGCGGGCATTAGTATATTTTTGTGGCTCGCACGTGGTGCAAACCCTGTCGGCATTTTTTATTTTGGAACTTACGGACGTTTGCCGAGTGTATTTAGTTGGGTATTCGGTATTTTTTCGAAGAAAACTAAAACTAAAATTAAGAACTCCCTTCCACCCAACCACACCCCCCCCCACCGTTCAGTCCGCCTCGTGAAATTCGTCAAAAATGAGTATGTCGGGCGGACGGACGTCGCGATCAGCGATTAAAGGGAAAATTTGGGACGGGGGAAAAAATGCTCGCGATTCTAGACGCGCGCGTTTTCGGACGAGGCGACGACGGCGAATTTCAGGTCGTATTGATCGTCGTCCCGTCCGACCGCTAGATAGGCTCATCCTCTGTACGCGCTGCACCCGCGTAAGCCATTTACATTGTTGCCGTTTTAACTCGTTTGCCCAAAGGCGATGTTCCCCTTACCTTCTCGCGTAGCCGCCGCCTTTAGTACAACAACTAATACTACTTCTACTACTACTACTACTACTACTACTACTACTACTACTACTACTATTACTACTACTATTACTATTACCGCTACTACTACTACTACTACTACTACTTCTACGACTACTGTTACTACTACAATTACTGCTGCTGCTGCCGCTGCTGCTACTAACAAAACTATAAAATATATATACTCTATTATACCGCGGCGCGTAATAATAATAATAATAACAATGACGACGATAATGCGAGGTCGGAGTCGCCCCGCGAACTCGGCCCACTGTGTACGTCCACACAGGACCGTTACGCGCGCGGAGTGGCGGAGTACTCACGAAAACGATAATAATTTTCGACGCGGCGTTCTCGCATAGCGCGTTGTCGTGCGTATCGATTGCCGGCACCGGATTCGGGACTTTCGGAACGCGAAACGGCCGACGACGGAAGTCGTTACGCCGGAACGCGGAAGTACTCGTAATTCCGGGTCGGAATCTCGCGATCGCACTACCAAGAGTATTATCATTTTTTTTTTTTTCATTCACTCTCACTCTCACTCACTCACTCTCTCTCTCTTTCTCTCGCTTTATCGTCGCAATATTAATCCCGCGTCGTTGCCGGCGCAATGCGATTGAACTCGATTATCATACGGAATCGCTATTTATTTATTTATTTTTTTTTTATTATTATTATATATTATATAGCGATCGACGCAACAACTATAGAGAAAACATGTCTCGCGATCAATCTGCCGACGAGTTATAATAATACATATTATACTGATTAAAAACAAATATTTCATTCGCTCAGACGGTTTATGAAATATTGTACGATTTACTGACCATCGTGTACACATGAAACAACATCGTCAGATGTGATGTATAAATAGTATACTTAACTGTTTCGGGTATAATTAATGTCATGCGTATATACGTTTTGGAATGTTACGAATGCGAAACACCGCATTGAGGAGGTAGGACGGGGAACGGAGGAGGTTGCGACACATAGAGAAAGAGATGGGCAGGCGATGTCAGACGCAGAGAAAACCGTAATCTTATACGGTTAAGTTTTCGAATTACAATGATCTTACGTGACCCGTTTTAACACAGCAGCACCGTGACGAAAATGTCCCATTCCGGTTACCGCGGATACCTCTTTTGCAGTCAAAGGCCAGAGTTTGCCGAATAACGTGAGCGAGAACGTCACAGCGTGCCAGTCGACCGGCCCTACTGCCTTCCCCCCCATCTCTAACCTTCTTCGAGGCTCTCGAAAACCCTCGAGAGTAATTATTGTTTTGAATGGCAGCACGTGCGCGTGACTCACATACGAGACGTGAGTCGACCAGGTGCTCGTCCCGTTTTAAAAAGACACCCTGTGTATTCCAACTTGCAGATAACTGAACTAGGTATAAAGCGGTCGCGTCGTTTGCAATGTTCGTCTATTGGGGATCATATCATCGTCCATGCGTACCTTTGTGGCGTCTGGTCGGGTTTCGGATGACCACGCGCGTGACGCCATTTCACAGTCAAACTTTTCAGATTTTTAACGGCAAGGATTTTGCACTGATTTCCGCGTTATTATTATTATTATTATTTTTTTTTTTTTTTTTACTTTCGGACTCACCTAAATTTGTTGGTCGCCAGTTCGCCGAGCTCGTAGAACTTGATCTCCTCGGAGAACACGTCCAACGGCACCGTGGTCGGCCTTCTCAGCCGGCCGCCGCTCTGGTAATAGTACAATATGGCGTCGAACGTCGGCCGGTTCCTGTCGAAGAAGTATTCGTTGCGTAGCGGGTCGAAGTATCGCATCCGCCGGCACGGGTCTCCCAGCAACGTGTCCGGGAACTGGTTCAACGTCCGCAGTTGCGTTTCGAACCTCATACCACTCACCTGAAAACGAAAATATATGACCGATTAATACGCGAACAATAATTATGATACATCGTGGGCGTTTAATACGCGGTTAAATATGGCGAGAAAAATATTCGGAGGACCGATAACGCGATCGCAGCGGTTTCGCGAACATTATAATATTATCCGCGCCGAAATGTCGAAAATAAACTAATGTCCTTGTACCCTCGCGGGGCCGCATTAAGCGCAAGTAGCGTTATGTAAGGTGATTTCATACCGTTTGAAATATTGAAAAATACATTTTTTTTCTCGAATATTTGTTTGTTGGCTACCGCTGTAATATTGTAACATTGGGTTCATTTTAAAGACTATAGCGTCACGCTCTTTATTCGAATCTATAATGTCAATAATTAAACCACACTGCAGAACTATATTTGTTAGGACCATTGTTAATAGCTGCAGTAGCTGTTTTTAATAAGTCGTTATCAATTTTTTTAAAAAACTCCGAGGAACGCCTTAAGTAGATATCTGCCACGGCCACCAAGCGTTTTGAATTTCAAAATAAATAACACTTTTTATTTTTCATGAAAACGGAACATTTCGCGCTACTCTCTCGTGAAATATCCCGCGAAATAAAACGAATCCTCGTGAAATATTTGAAAAAAATATACGTGTCCCGCGCAATTTCAGAACCCTGAATCCTATAAACACTTACGGTGTATTCGAATGACCAATCGGTTGTTATCCGCGAGTAACGCGCCGCTATCAAAACCAACGCCGGGAACACTAACTGTAAAATCGCCGCGCATAACAACCGATGTCGATTTCACAATTCAAAACGGTCGTATTTAAAACAATTGAATAATATGCTCGATTCCGGGACGCTGTTGACGTGTATATTCACTGTGTAGAAACAAAATCGCCGTTGCTTTTGCCGTTGCCAAGCACGTGCCTGTCTCGTGCCTGCGCGCGTTAATCCGGACCCGCTTGCCCGCATTTTTTACGCGCGGCAGTCGATATCAGTGTTACGCCATTACACGGTAGACAATGGTATATTATTGTTTTCGTCATGTATATAAACCGCGGGTTGTGTAGTATAAACAAGAAACAGAAATATATTAGAGGCCGCGACGGACACGTCGTACGGCGGACGGTCGTGTAATTAAATTGAAAAACCGTACCTATATTACATTGGCCGTAACGCAACACTTCCCCTGCGTGCGGAGGATGATAGGTGGGGGGAGGGGTGTGGTTGGTAGTGATAGGGCACGGAGAAATTTACCTATGCACACGACGTTTGCGCAGGGTTTGGTTTTGAAAACGCGCCCGTCGCCGGGAATTACGCACAGGGATTCCGTTGTAACGTAAACCAATCAAACTTTGCCGGCACTCTGCGTGCGTCCGTGATGTGCGTGCCGCAGTGATATGAAAAACGAAAACGTATAATAATATGATAATAGTTTGGCTCTCATGCGCGAACCGACCGTCCTTTAAATGTAATAGAAACAACAAACGCGATAAAATTAAAATTTATCAGTGTTATATGCGAAATAATTGAGACACGCCTAACCGCTTTGCAATTTATATTTTTTCTCGTGTCGAACGCGTGCGTGAATTATAAAACGTTCAAATTAATGGAATAATAGAAAAAAAAAAGAAAAAAAGGTTGATATACTGCTGATGGGTGTGCTATTGTTTTCGGACGGAAGATAGAAAGAAGGATATAATATATCCTTCCTTACTATATACTCCCCTACTTTAAATTATAACATGGTAATTTATTTATATCTGTACGAAACGACAAACCATTGGTAACGAAAAATACGAATAGAAGTAGAGTTTAATTGGTCGTATTGTTTCTCTAGTTTCCAAGGTAATCCAGATATCAACAAAAATTATACAAAAATTTGCCAATTTTTTCATTTATTAAGAAGACAACAAGGAAAACCAGTGCACCAACTAGATCAAAAATGTTAAAACAAAGTTCTTATAAAGTTTTAAATTGAAACGAGATTTCTGACAGAAAAGTTTTAAAGACACAACAAAAATTAAAAAATTAAAAAAACACAACATGAAACTAATATATTCCTCGCTTCACTCAGAATCTAAAAAAAAGTTAATAACAATATAGTACTATGAGCTACGATTTTATTCTGCTGTCCCATCTGACGTCATGTCATTACAAAACAAAACAAAACGAAACTTCGCTCAGAATTGCATTTCGTCAGCAATGATCGTTGTGTACAGACATAAACTAAATATAATTTTATGTACCCCACATTTTTAACTTTTCAAGTTTCCACCAACAATGGCACACACATCAACACTATCAACTCATTTTTTATGAAACAATAACTTTACCGAAAAATGTCTAGTCGGACACATTGTAACTAGTAATTAATTTTAGGATAGGTACATACAAAATTAAATTTTTAGAGTTGTAGCAATAATTGTGATTTAAGTTAACGACTATAACCTTTCACTAATTGAACTTCGCTCAGAATATCTTTTTAAGATTTTGCCACGATATATCGTCAATTTCAGTATTTAGACTAAACTACTGTACCTGTGGCCCATTTACCTTATTGATGTTCCAACACACAGTGGTGCCTACTCGTAGTGTACGTACGGTTTTATTTTTATTCTAACGTTTTAATGACAATTAATTTAAAAAAGTAGTGATATAAATTAAAAGCTATTAAAAATAGTCGACTATTATCATATATTAAATAAACTGCGTGTACGCTATTTCAGGTCGTCGTTTGAGTGACTTTGAACGGACGACGACGGTTGACAGCGGATAATAATATAGACCGCGATAGCTGTACAACGAAAACAACAACAGTCATAATAATAATTATTATCATTCTCTAACTGTCGTGTTTTAAATTATGTTATTATTTTAAACAAATGAACGGCAAAGTCACATCATATAGTTGAACAAAAACAATATTAATAATATCGTTTTGACGATTGTTCTTTTTTGGTGGTGGGGGAAGGGCAGGAAGGACTCGCATATTAATTAATTAATTACATCGAAAAATAACAATTTTTACATTTTTAATTCATAGCTAAAACGTATACAAGGTGATTTTTTTTTTTTTATCACTATCCAGTGACCGTGTTATCGCGATTTCGAGTAAAATTTATTACGGTCTTTTTCATTCGTTATAATATGTTATACAGAATCGTTTAAGAATTTTATTTAGGATATATACATCATTAACATTTTACTCTTTTTTACTCTTACATATATTATCAAATTTTGATTTTAAAAAGCAAACCTCATTCCCCTACCTTTTTTCAAATCAAACTGGAGATAATTTTTCTTAACATTTTGATATCATCGTTAACGTTAACATTCATTAATCAACATATTTAGAATAAATATTTATTTTTTGAATTCTTTGTTAAAAAGGAGATGGGTATGATTTGAAAATAAAACGTTAATACCTACTAGTCTATGATATAAGTAGTGTTGGTAATAATTTGAAAATATTGTTAAAATTTAAAAAATAAAAAGCAGAAATCAATTTAATTTTAAATTCTCCGAGAATATAATAATGAAATTCACCATGTATGTATTATTAAATATTAAAATATACACAGACGTGATGTGAAAACCCATAAACGCATTATACGTTTTATAAATGTTTTTTTTTTCAAAAGATTTTCTATTTCACGTCAAGCTTTTCGATTTAAGATGAGTGATGTGTGCGTGAGATGGATAGCAAACAAATATAGGAGATTTCAATCGTATAACGATTAGCTTCTAATTGTTGTTGTTATTATTCTTCTTTTTATTCTTTTTGGAGATTGTCGGCCACTGAGACCATCCCTGTCACATTCTCCTTGTCATTCTGTTCTCGCTTTTCAGTCTAAACCTTAATTTTGAGATTATATGTCTTTCCTCACCATATTTTCCCTTATTAAACGGGATCATATCTTAAGCGTCTAACGTGTTGGTCTTTACTTGGTTCTTTATTTCCGTAACCATCACCCTTATTCAAATGGATTCTGATTTCTATCTCTATTCAGAATTTTGTCTAATTCTAATATCAAGTCTGTTGATTTTATTATTTTTCTTTTATCGTGAGCCGGTTTCTTGATTTTTTACTGATCCAATAATTGTTCGTATACGATTTCTTTTTCCAAATTTGCATAGTTTATAATCCGCGGGAACTCGATTTCTCTCCGGATTAACTTTAAACGAAATCTGCTGCATCACAGTCTCATACCAGATGGTTTTCTGCTATTCGTATAATATTAGTACAATTGTGACGTCTGTGGATATTACATTAATATTATTTCACATAGTATTAATTACGCATTCTCGCGAAAAATATCCGTGACCGTATTTCGTATTTGACAATAATAGTATACTCAAAAGTGGCACAGTTGAAATCGATGAGATATTTAAAATTATTCTGCACGTTAAACTACATTTTTAAATTACTCAAGATTTCATAATAAATTCTAAACAAACACTAGACGCGTTCGTTTCAAAAATATATTATTATATTACCTATTACTTAGCTACATCAAATATAATATTATTGAGTACTGTTAAATACTTATGTTCAAAAAAGATTAAAACGACTTTTTTTAATTTCCACTATTAAAATATAACATGAGTTAATTTTGTTTAATCCTATTTCTTTATAAAAAAAAAAAAAATGCTGCAATATTTCTTCAGTTATGTATACGTTTTTAAGATTGCCGTATATTATTTTAATCTACTCGGGCCGTCTCTCAGGTTTTTATGAAAAACAGCACGAGTAACGTATATTTTTCAAAGTAATCATACATCATAAATAATAAATTAACACATTTAAGTTTTTTTTCTAAATAAAATATTTTTACATTTGTGACAATTTACGCTTAAAGTATGATTTTTAAATAATGTTATATTTAGGTATTTATAAAAGTGAGCTACAAACTGAAAGTTACCACTTAAGAGAAGTTTCATTTATTTTAGAATTTAAATTTTTTTTCTTTTTACCTACTTAAAATTGATATTGTTGGTGAATGGTGATACAATTTAGATTTGGTGACTTAAATATTTGATGCGATTTTTTTTTCTTTTTCCTGTTTGTAAACTTAATCTGACATAAAAAAAAAACTCTTAAAAATTTATTTTCCCTTCCTAGACGTGGTATAATTATTCAAACCAATTTTCGGTTTTTGGGAGGGTCATTTGAAATGTTCGAATTTGTTTAATTTTAACTATGTGGATAACATATTTCAAAAATTCACTTTTTAAAAATGCTCAAAAATTTAATACAATTTTCATCGTAAATTGCTCTTATGGCACTATACAAATTTAAGTTCCAATTTTGATTAGGGTATTTATTAATGTATTATATTTTTCGATTTGTGATAAAAAAAAAAAAATCTCACACTGCTAGGTGTGACATTAATTTAGAAAGAAATTTAAAAGGGAGGATATTGAATAATTTATTTTATGAAAGGATAAATCATTGCTAATGGATGACGATTCTGAGCAGAGTATTATTAATTTTATTTTTCCATTTTTTTCGAGGTAGTTGAGAAATTAACAATTATATCAATGATTGCCAGATTTCCCGCTTTTATTAAGGAAATTAAAAAACAAAAAAAATTACAAATATTACTTCCACAGTACACTAACTTGATCAAAAATAAGTTGCTTATACTCGCAAAAAACAAATATACACATCATAATAAAATCAAGTTTTTCCTCGTTCACTTAGAATATACAATTTTTCAAAAAAAAAAAAAAAATCTATAGGTATATATATTTATACAGGGTGATTTTTTAAGCAGTCTCACTTCATTTATTTCTATTATTTATACGACGTGTAGTGAAATACGATATTTTCGAATATTTGAACTTTATATCCTGTGGCAATACGAACTTTGGTTTTCCAACTGAGAACCTACATGTTTTAATTCTAATTACCAATCAAATAATTTTTCTAAAAATTTTGAGGTATTGTAATCAAAATTTGAATGTAAATTTATTCTTTTTCAAGTACAAAGGATAGTACTTAGCATAATACTTAGTACTTACATAATACATGTATTTCGATAAATACATGAAACGTAACAAGAAATTGCCTATACTCGACTCCTATGAAACGGTCGGTATCCAATCTCCTTTGAAACTATCCTTAGTATGAAAAACTCAGTATGAACAAAACATAACCAAGAGTATTATTGGGTTTTCGCGTGAAATATTTATTATTTTTTAATGATGTCTGAAAAGTAGGCTATGGGAAATGTGGGGTGTGAAATCCCACATAAGTTAGATATAGTTCAAACATTATAAAGAACGCTAATTTTGCTATAGCCTCATAGTTCCTGATTGTGTATCATTTTAAATTTGCAATGACAGCTTTTGATAGTTCTACAGCAGAGTTTTGGTTATATGAGTTATTTTTTTGCAGATTTATCGATACTGTTGTATAGAAGGAAAGAAACTTCACTGCCGATAATATTGTAAATTGCTGACCGGTCAAAGTTGTAGGTTTCTTACAGTACGGTACACGACGGTCACGGAGTTAAGGCCGTTTAACACCCATCACGGTCTCGGTGTCGCGGAACTGGTTGATGCTTCGCCAAACATTATAACGTTATTATTATTACAACTATCATCGTGTTCATTATACTATTATAGTATTCTTATATAGAAATCTCAACGAGGGCACTGTGCTGTGGTACATACCGAGGCGAGACAGGAACTCGTGGCGCTGCTGCATGCGTATTATTTATAATTTTAGACGGCTGATGTTGTACGAACGCGACTAAATTAATGATTCTCTAACCCTAATGGTTTATAACGCTCGCGTCGCGTCGCATCCATTCATATTATAGAATATGAATTGCCTCTCTTGTGGGGTTCGCGTATACATTATAATATTATTATACGCATAATCACTTCAATTGCAGTATAATAACAACGAGCTTATTAATTAAAATCGCGTATAAAACGTGCATTCTTCCGCCGCTGAAGCCGAGATCTGATTTACGACCTGGCCAACGGCAATATTATTACACTATTCGGATTGACCGACATTCATTACCTAATACTCACCCTGACGTACACGGTCAACGTTCGTTTTCGACCTTTTCGTATTGAAATAAAATAATATTTAGAGTTGTACAATGACACCGTGAATGGTCGAAAATCTAAATCCGAAAAGTTCAAAAGAGTACGGTGTAGTGCATTCATAAGTATAGGCCATTGTGTAGTTACTAAATTGCTGGTGGTACGTTCTTACGGTCAAAAAACAATTCTGAACGGAGTCCGGTATACTGCAGCCAATTATGTTATATATAAAAGTCTATAAGTTGTGTTGATTTGAATTGAGAGTTTTATAAAATATTTCAAGTTAAGCGTATCACCGGATGGAAATTCCGCGTCTTTTGCGGTACAGTGTGACAAAATCGAAGCATTTTAGCTGAACGAAAAAGCGAACACGAAAAGCAAAAAAACACATGTAGTAAAACGAATAATTTTATCGCTACACTCGGAATCTAAAATTGAAAATTTCAACGGACGAAAGAATACAATTTTATTCCCCCCCCCCATTCCCACAGAAAATAAATCCCGCATAGAGTAGAAAATCGTGCTCTAAAATGAAAATTTTATTCGCGAGAAAAAGATCGAAACAATAAAATGAAAAAAATCGACGGTTAAATATTACAATGATTACTATGACTATCGAAGTTATTTGCAGCACATTCAATAGAAAAAAAAAAATAAATAGGTTTCGAACGATCGACAGTTATTCGTTTGCGTAAAAAATAAAACCACCGACCGTCGCCATTGTGTACAGTTGTTATCGCCGTCGTTATCGAGTACGACCCGAACCTATGGTACACGTAAAAACGAATTATTATTATGTATTATTTAAGTTCACGTCGAAAGCGTGTGACGGTCTCCGTATGATATGATATACGTTTTCCACGGGTGTTTTTTTTTTTTATTATCAATTTGTTTTTATTTTTATTTTTTTTTTTATCTAATCAAAATCGCATTTGTTACGCCGCCGCCGACAACATATACATCGGAATACGACAACAATATATTATTATTATAATATTATTATAATGGCTGGTTACAATAACGATGATAATAATAATAATAATCGGCGGTTGATTTATACGTGACGCGACGTCGCCGTTGCGAAATTAATGGATTGACGGCTATAACGATTACACCGAAGACGAGTCACGTCGAGCCAAACATGTCCTGACGCAATTTATATTGTTATCATTATTATTATTATTATCATGATTATTATGATTAGGACGCGACGTCGTTCTTATTGTTCGGCCCCCGGCTCGGCTAAACGTCCGCGTATAATAATGATAACGATATTGTTATTGTAGATCGATTCCGATCGAACCCGCGCGTCAAAGACACATATCACACGTCATAGCACCGAATTGTGGAAAAAAATCTCCGGGAAAAAATTAATGTTGATCAAAACTACAGAAAAAAAAGGTCGACAGAACTACGTTCGAGTATCTAAAATAATTTTCGAAGTCTTTCTAAAATCAATCGCACATCATATCAGAAAGCGCTGTATCGATTAGGTAACCATTGTTTCACAACCCGGGGGGGAGCGACCACTTTAGGGATCGCAAACTAATTATTTAGGGTCGCTAAAAATATATAATATTGGGTCGTCATGAATAATAGATATATTCAGGGGGGGTGGAGGATCGCAAAAAAATTGAATATTCATTTACGGGATCGCGACGATGAAAAGGTTGAAAAACACTAGTATATAACATTATCGCACATTGTACTATTATGTATACAAAAATATACAATCATTATTATTAATTATCACGTTACGTACCACATTATTAAATTTTTTAATGTAGAATTCATTTTGTTAATTATGTATTAATTATTTTATTTTGTTTATGCCCGTCAATCACCGGTATACTGGGAATCTGGGGATTTAGTTTCCTAGTGCGGGGATTTTTTTTTCTTCGAACTACCCATTGCAAAATATTTGTTAAAATAAAATAACATGTATGCAATAATAGCGGCGTGTTTTGCCTCGAGGGTTTTCCGTGTCCGTACAGACAAACATACACAGTGTTAAAGTTCATATCGGACGCTCGGTAGAAATTTTGTTTACTACGTGCGACGCCAAAAAATAAAATATTACAATAGCGATTGGATTAGATCAAAATGTATACGGAATATTGCGTTTAATGTAGGAAATATTCCCAATGAAAGAAGGAGGAATAAACCGGGGAAAGTCTAAAGCTTGAGGGGAGGGTTCGTCGATCTGCCTATGGAAACTTCAGTTTTAAAGAAAAGGGAGTGGAAACTCATAAACAAACGTCCTGTTGTATAGTGTGTTTTATTCGAATCGCAACACGAAATATTTTTGCCGGGTGTACTCGAATCGAAACGAGGGATTTTATTTTAGGAAGATTAGGTTCTCGAAATTTTAGCCCTTTTGACATGCAGTAACATTTACGTTTTCTTAAACGGAAAAACCTAATCTGAACACTATTCTAATAATTCTATGTATGTCCAGTAGCAGTATGAGAAATTAATATCTAACGCGTCATCTAAAATAATTAAAACTTAGATTTTTTCTCGATTTTCCAAAAAAATATGAAACGCGTACTATGTACCATCTTATTTCATTTCTATAAAATATCGATCTAATTACTTTTTTTTTTAAGTGCCGTCTTCTCTCAAAAGCAACACGAATGATTTTAAGAAAAATCCAGATCTTGCGATATCTTGCCTGACATATTGGAGATTATAACACGATCGTACACGAGGTCATTGAAAAATAATATGGCAGTAGTTTTGTTACAATATTTCAAACGATTGCCGATATCGACCGTTTGTAAAGTAAAACAGTTTGCAAAAAAAAAAAAAAAACGTTAAGTCGACGTTTTATGGAGATTTTCGTTCTTGGAAACTTTTCGCATCGACTTTAGACTAATGAATTTACGAGGGCTCTCCATATAGGTATTAATTTATCATTATTATGTGTCCCGACACAAGAGATCGCTGACAATTTAGAAAGCCACCATACAAAGGCGCGGATGCGTACTACGACACGCTCGAGTCGAGTCCTCTTCAGTAGCTTCCCGTCGTTAGGTTCGCCCGCCTCCACTGTCACCGAGATGGGCAAAACGCTCTCGTATTATAAATGCATTATAATATATTATACATGCTGCTCGATTATTCCGAAGAAGTCAACGAACAGCTGACATCTCGATAAATACGTAGGTATTGACTATAGAACTTGAGCGAACAATTATTTGGAATATAAAAAATAACGAAAGAAAATAAAACCAGAATACTCGTAAATCGTGGATATAAATAAATAAATGCCTTAGAAAATTTCAAAAAAAAAAAAAAGGTTTGCAACCGAATTTCAAAATTATTAAAATGTTGCTAGGGGAAAAAAATAAATACAAATTTCAGGCTAAAGTAAAAATAGGGAATACAAAACACGTATTCGTGTATAAAACAAGTCCTGACTTTAACTGTGCCGTAAGGTCAAGCTAGTGGAAATATTTTAAAAATCAAAATTACGCAAAAGCGCGAACACTGTATAGTGTGCGGTCTGCGTTTTGGGTATGTAGCTTTTGCTCGTTGACCTAGTTATCGGTTCGTATAGCGAAAACAGTAAATAAAACTAACAGAATTTCGGTATGAAAACGGACGATTATACTCGTATTTCGCGAAAATGCGTAAAACACACATAATAGCTGCGGGATAACTCAATTTGAAATATTGAAATTTGAACGGTTCGAGTAACGTTAATAAACGCGTTTAAACGGTGTAAATCGACATACTGTACCCTATCATTTCGAAAAAATTTTAATTCGATTATATTCGTTACGGTTTTTAAAATTGTGATTATAAATAATAAATTAATTGTGCACAATATACGGCTTTGTCGTTCAATTTCCGCCGCACGGATGAACGTAGTAATTTAACACAGCGTTTAGTTACGATAACGGGTTAAAAATGTTTTTTTTTTCAAAAATGACAGTTGGCAATAAAATTTGTTGTTGAACTATCAGCGGTGTTTGAAGATTATTTTTTTGTTTCATTAACATTACAAACGGTCCGCGATTCGCGAGAGACTCGTCGTTTGAAGTGAACTCGAAAAATTATACGCATCGATCGTGTAAAATAATTATATTATAATATGTTCGTCGGATAGACTTAAAAGGGCGTCACCGTAACTCTTTGCCGTCTCTGCCTATCCATAACGGGCGCGTACTTATGTAGCAAAAAATCGTTTTCGTACTCCGAACGGTACTATATAGATTGCATGATCTAACAGACCTAATATGGAAATTAATTCACCAGATTAAGGATAAAGTTTTACTGTGCTTTCAAAACGGGAATTTTTTTCGAACCAATACGTCGAGCTTAAAAAAAAAATCAGTATTATTTTTTATCTCGATTTAAAATCGTATCCTAATCTTAACTTCCTCAATAATATTATAAATGTAAAAGTAAGTCGGTCCGTTACGTTTTCACGCCTAAACCGCTGGACTAATTCTGATGAACTTCGGTATAGAGACAGATGAGATTTCGGAGAAGAACATAGGCTACTTTTTGAACGCGAAAAATAAACTTAACGGATGAAATAGGATGAAATAGGCGGTAAAAGGATTTTAGCTATTTCTAGTATGAAAATTAAACGGAACAGCTATAGTAATGAATAAATCGGAAATCACTCGACGAAAATATGAGTAAAACGTTTTCACCTTTAATTTGGTGAAATCAATTTAGGTCTAACCGATCACTATAAGTTGTTGGCTTTATTTCCCGTCAGTTATACAGTGGCGGCAAATATCTGCGACCTTATCGTACGATAATATTTTTCGAAAAAGAGCTACGCGGGCACGTTCTCCTCTCTAAATAGGCTGTCGTTTGCGATCCGACTACGATTCCACGACCTGAACGCTATTTGCGTTCTTCAAGCGCCGGGGTTTTGTTACGTTCGCGACGGCCGGGTTCAGTAAGTCGGAGACGGCGCGCGCGCGAGTAAATATCACGAAATCGTTTTGAAAATGTCGTTTTATAAAACGGGCCGACGCGGTTGCTAAACGTACCGACGGCGAAGACGCGACAAACACGGGCGTTTCCCCGTGTCCGTCGATTAATACCCGTGCGCCTATATACCCCGTGACGACGCGCAGCGTGCCGTGTGTGTCTACCGGAACGTCACAAAAGTTTCGAATTAAATTTTGACGGGGTAACTGATCCCCGTCCAGTCGTCGCGACGTCGGCTCGTCTCTCGTCGAAAACGCGGCACAAATGAGCGGCCGTACACCGGAATGCCTCTCTCGCCTCTTGTAATTTGGCCGTGTTGACAACGCGGCCACGCCGGGGTCCCGTCATCCGCGACCCTTCGGCACCAGCCTGTACACGTATACCGGTGTACGTGCGGGCGTATAATTCCGATGTAAATACGTACCGTCCGGATTAAATAAGCCCCGCGATGACCGCGCCCTCCCCTAACCTCTCCTCGTGCTCTCCTCCCCTACGCTTCATTCCCCCCGCCGGCTATTATTATCATTATCGATCGCCTACCTGCGAGGCCCGTACGACTGCCGCCGCGGGAACAGACCCCGCGCGCTCTTGGATATGAAGAAACGTTATTTCAGAATACCGATAGAAAGTGTCGCGAGCAGACGAACGCATATTTTATTTCGTGTACCTAATAATATACCAGTATTATACGCGTGTCGTATAAACTCGGCGATACAGATTCGAGATTGAAAAAAAAAAAAAAAACCACCGCTTAAAGCTCGAAGAACGTAAAAGGTTTACCGTACGGATATTTTTTATTATTACGGTACCCCTCGTGGGGTTTTCGTGTTTGAACTTACGTGGGGCCTGATGACCCTCCGCCACTCTCCTGGGCGTATATAAAAGTGAACGGGAATCGAAAGTTTCAACAAATTTTAAGTAAAATACTCCGTTTGTTTATGTAAATGTCAAATACAGGTTGCCGTTCGAAAATCGAAAATGGGTTCGTCTTGTCGTTTCAATGCCCGAGAATAAAAGTGACGAAAAATTAACATTCGAGAGCCGCTTGTTTCTGAAATTATCAAGAAAATAAATTGTTTGAAAAAGTCAATATTTTTCGCGGAATATAGTGTGAGGCTACTTAAATGTATCATTCTGTATACGCGTACATAATTATAATATCTATATATTACCACAGTGTTATTTAAACGATTTTAGATCTCCGAATATGTTTTCTAGACACGTCGTAAATGTAAACAGAACAATGTTTTATGTTATTATTATTTTTTTTTTTATCTTAAATCATTATAGGTACGTATTGTAGGACACTCACGTTGATTGTAACTCTTTCGCAAAAGTCGTGATCGTGCGGTATAGGTTCGAATGTTGAGCTGCCCGAACAATGTTGAGGATGACCGTGTGTGAGGCCTGTGCCAAGACTTGCCCCTGGACCACAGCCGTCTTCGTCTTGGGTATTGAGTTTCGGCAGCGACCTATAAAACGAATAAAACAAACATTTTCGTTTAGAAAAAAAAAAAAAGTTACACAACAAAACGGTTGCAATGGACACGCGTATTATTTGAAAAAAAAAAAAAAAACGATTAAGGTGACGTGACGGGTTCGGTATGCCGTGGCGGCCGCGGGTTCGACGGGGTTGATTGCTTTTTAAATATTGAATTATGCATAAGGGGACTCCTCGTTATTGTGTATACGTATGCACAAAATATCGCGACGAAAACGCGATTCGAAACGAATAATTCGATACCCAAATCCGGGTGATCGATTGACTTCGGTCGTCCGAACGTAAAAAAAAAATAATAATAAAAAGCAAACGCCCCGAGGCCAACAACAACGTTTTGTATACGGTCTTGACGTGAGACGGTATATAGAGTAATTTCGATAAGAAAAAAAAAAACCTAATACGTTCATATTATTATATATAAACGTGAAATGTGTATTTTCTCGTGATCGGTGGGAGGGGAGGAGGGGGAAGAATAACGTACAGATATGTTGTATTAGCGGCGGACACTCGCGAAAAACGACGACGCTGTTTAATAAACGGACAAAAACAAAAACATAAAAAAAAAAAAAAGTAATAACCGTGACCGGTCGAAATATCTCTGGAAATAATAATCTCCTTTTAGATTTTAATTTTAATATATTTTTTTAGGTTTCATTTTTTTAACATGTTCGTTAAAAAAATGTAAATATTTTATATTCTGAACGGGACGAGGAGGAATGTATCGGTTTTATTGTGTGCACGATTTTTATGTCTACCAAAAGTCTTGTTACAACCACAAAACGATAAGTACCGGTCGTCGTAAGTTTTTCTATCGAATTATGAATTTAGTTGATGTATATCAAGGAATTCATTTTTTGGTTTTCCTCGTAGTGAATGGGAAAAAGCAGAAAAACGGGATAATTTACTGCAACTCGGTAAAAATAACCGTAGATATCTGACATTTCGACGTAACACTTTTTTAAGAGGTTTTTAATAACGTCAAGCATAGGCTATTACAAATCAATAAAAAATAAATTTGAGTTTTAGATTGAAATTGTGAACATTAAACCGGGTGATTATTTAGATCGGATATAATTTGTCGGAAATATTTTGACACCGAACCTTCATTATGTTCCATACCGATGTTTTTTTATTCGGATTTACACGCTGCGGGGTGCGGGGGTATTCGGCCTCACCGCGTAATAAACGTTATCATGAATAACGCGAAAGAGGATAAAAAAAAAAAAAAAAAAAAAAAAAAAACAAACAGGTATGTACTCATATTCCGTTCGCGCATGTGTGGGGAAAAAAAACAATTTACCGTGCAACAAAGTGCGTAACAAGGGTCGCGACGACGACTGTAGGAAAAACCGTGAACGCGCACGTGTATACCGACGACGACGGTACCGCCGGCCGTTCGGCGATAAAAGAGAAGAATGAGAAAAATATAGTGATTTTTCCTTTTTCCACCCCCCCCCCCCTCTTTTAGTTTTTCAATAAACGCGCGTACGCTCTCGTAATTACTGCGGAGCGCGCGCGCGGTATTTTGGTTACCACTGAACAAACGCACTATATTACCGGAGGAATACGACCGCCGCGGCCGCGGTAACCGTGGTTACCGTACTTCGGACCAGACAGCGCGTCGACAAAACGCATAAATCGCCGACGCCGCCGCTACGACTCGACTGATTATCGAGGCTCTCCCCGGCGGTTCGTGCGCCCGTACACTCGACGTGTATTATTATTATCGCTGCGCTACCGAAACAATAAAAATCGCTTTTCACGTCTTGTTTACAACGACCGGCGGCGTCCCGAGTGCGGCGACGCGAAAACACAAACCCCGAAATTCTGACTCGTAAATGTTCGTCGTCGACGCGACGTTTTTTGTTCTGTTTTCCGCTGACACGTTGAGCGCCATGAGACCCGATGAACGGACGTCGTCGGTCCCGTTCGCCTCTGGACGGTACCCCGCCGCCGCGGTGTGGATTTTGCCCGTTCTCAATTATTTCGGCGAAATATCACGGTTTGGAATATATTGCGATGAATTTCCGACAAAAATAAAAAAACAAAAAAATGTAAACGACTTATTACGTCCAAAAAACGCGGGACCCGTCGGGATTCGAGAACCGCCTTTCAAAATCCGAAGCCGAAGACACCGCGAACGTCACGACTGGATTCTCACTAGGCGGTTTTTATTAATTTTTTTTCAATTTCAATGAAGTTGAAAACTGCGGCAGAACGAATTGTCTGCGTCGGAGGATCCTCGTTTCAAATGAACCCAATACGATATTACGACGCGTACTTGTTTCGCTACGGTTTCCGAATTTTTAACGGAAGAAACCACAATGATATTTACAAAATAATATGAAATATACAAACATTTTTTTTTTTCGTCAAACAATATATTCTATCGTCGATAAACACTAAAAACGTGTAATATTAACCCCACAGGATAGTTACGATCTGCGCGTACTGGCGTTGTCGATTTCTGTCGGTATATTATTATTTATTTTTTTTTTTTTTACTATAATTCATTCACGCGGCATCGATATTGTAAAAAAAAAAAAAACAAAACGGACATTTTAAAAATGTATAAGTATATACGGTGGAGTTGGGTCCACTTTGTATTATTAATTTTAGTTTAGCAAAACGCTCGATAATTATCGTTAATTACACGGTATTTTTTTGCGAAACGTTACTGATTTTATATCGATTGTATACCGTGAAATAGAAAAAAAACAAAATCAACCTAATCATATTGTACGGGGCGTTCTTTTCGGTTTTTGTTATCGTTCACCAATAAGATATTCTATACGACGGTCATGGTAGAATTTTTATTTTTTTTTTTTTTTTAAACAATTGCTTCTTAATATAAAAACTTTATCTATTTAATTATTGCTTTATATAAAATCAAGTTCATCATTATGTCTGTACGCAACTCTCTACTCAACCACAAGCTGTAGCTTACAGGAGTAGATTATAATTTATATAATTATAAAATATATTTAAAAAAAAAATCACCCTAACGTTCTGGCTACGGGTTCGCAGCGAATGCGGGCGGGTATCTAGCGATGACGATTGTTCAGGTATGATAAAGTTAGAAACGCATTCTGAACGTAATTGTGCTTCGGAATATAAATCGTGCGGGAAACACACATTTTCGGTAATATAGATACTGCCGCCGTTTTACTGACGAAGAGCATAATTTTCTGGGTTTACGCGCGCGCGCGCGCGGGAGTAATGAATTTCGGCACCACGCAATTATCAGCAATTACATTAGGCGAATTATTTTTAACGGGACGTGTATACTTTTCGGACGCCCATAAGCGCTAGGGAGTCGTTACGAAGAGCCGGGAAGAACATTATTATTTATCCACCCTCCCCGCCTCCCCCGCACATAGCCCGACGAATATACGAGTAGACGATACTGAACAAAATCATTTCCGACTTTGTCATCCCTACAAAATGTACGTAGATTTTTTCAAGGGACTTTATTAATCGTCCGTCACAATGCATATTGTATTATTATTCCGACGAACGCGCATTCGAAAAACTATTATTATTTTCCAATTAACGCGTTTTCCATTAGAATTATTCGCGTTCCTTTAAACTGCAACTTCCGGCGAAAACGTATTCCGTGTATATACGCGTTATGTTATAACATTCGATTCGATCACGTTTTCCGCGCACTATTCGCTCGATATTTTACCGATTCGTATCGTGTTTTTCAGAAAAAAAAAACTAAACAAAACGCAGAGTGTTCTGTTGAAAACAGTCCATCGAACCGGAGGGTGCAGGTACGCATTCCGGTGTTTCCGTTGTTCGGCGTCCGCGCGCCGCGCCGAAAGACTTTGGCTGTAATGTTGTTATACCGTCGCGCGAATATTCGAGATACGGCGCGCGCGCCGCAATATTTTTCGGAAAATAAAAATCGTCGCTGCTCCGCGTTTGTTTTAAGGCGGGTAGTGTACGGTTTTCAGAAAAAAATACGGGGAATCGTAGCCGGGTCGGTCCGCACGAACGCGACCGTTAAGAAAAACAAAATAGAATTGAAAACGTACAGTTGCACCGACAACGCAGAAAAAATTATTGTTTTCAAATTGTGTATTCGCGATAACCGGTCATGTGCGAAACCGCGCCGTGTAATCAGCAGGGAAAATTGAAAAACCGTAATTATAGGCGGATCCAGAGAACCGAGGCGGTGGTCATTAGCTCGCTGCGCCCACCGGGGCAAATTTAATCGAAAATACCCCTCGACTTTTTGTGCGAAACCACGTCGGGTAGGTAACAAGAAAAAGCGAAGAGTGAAATATCATACGTGAAAGTACCTTTGATTGGTATAACATTATAACTTATCGATGTGTAGCCATATCGGAATTAGGTGTTAATCGGTTATCGCGAAAATACGGTTATGGAAAACTATACGGCATATTAAAATATGATGGTACCGTGATACATCGAGAGAGATCGGTTGGCAGTTATGAACAAACGATTCAAATCATTTTTCGTGTGGATTGGCCACATCGAAATATTGTGACTGGCATCTTATCAATTTTCTGAAAACTGCGATTCTCCGTTTTACAGCGTTGCCGAAACAAACCGCGAACCGCGCTCGCAGAACCGTATAAAAAACGGACCGCCCGCGGACAGACTCTGTGAACTCCTGTGGAATTCCCATTCCCGTCACTATCGTTTTATAATATACGATATGTTAACTGTCGTGACGACGCAATATCGTCGTGACGAGTCCGTCGAAAACGATTTTCGACCCTCGCGGGAAAACCGAGTGGTAGACGCGGACTTAATGTAGTGCAGGAACTAATTCTTTTCCCGGGGAGGGAAGAGAGAGGAAAAAAAACCCGCGATTTTTCGGACGTTAAATACGCGTTTTTTAAAACGGGACGCAAACTCGGACAAATTCGGGATAATATCATAACAGGTGCCCAGGAATTATCAATGGGAGGGGATGTAGCACATAAGAACCATGTTTAAATCGTAAATTAATCTTCCCTACCCAAATCGACATTGGGAATCGGTAATTTAAAAATCAGATACTGAAAAACGCCAATCTCTAATCAATATGTCAAGTTTTTCCTGAAATATATGAATTTCGACAACAGATTTCTCATATTTTGTTGATATTTTCAAGCCGACGGGGGGATATAGTCCCTGACCTCCCCCCCCTTGCACACGCCACTGAGTGTACGGTGAGTATGCTTTCACCTAGAACGGGAGGACGTTTTTCCCGTTTCGCAGTTCGGGGCGCAGTCGACGCTTAGCGGCGCTTTGAACTCCGTACCGACCTCCTGCAGTGGCGACCGCGCGGAGCGGTGTTAGAGGGATTCGGGTACTCTCCGAAACGTAAAATATCTTTTAATTTATATTGAAATATTGTAAACTTTAAAATCGATTCGCGCGACACGACACGGTCGGATATTTTTCGTGACCCCCCGGCCCCCTTCGCCTCCCTTCACGAGCCAAATAAAATAAGAAAAAAAAAAAACGTCCCGCTTTTGCCGTCGAAACGTCTCGTTAAAGACATTCACGCGGACACTGTATTATACGTAATGCGAACCGAAATCCCGAAGAACAAAATAAAAAAAAAACGTTTTAGCGCGTGACGCGCGGGAAAAACGAGAGACAGAAAATATACGCGACGTATGCGATGTACGAATGTTTCATTTTTTTTTTTTTTTTTTTTTTTTTTTGAAATACGAAACTTTCCGAATTATTAAGCGGCCAACGCGTTCTAGAATTTTGGCCCGACGGAATATATGCTCCTATAAGACAATATGCGTGTTATTATTATTATTGTATTGGTTTGCGCGCGCCGAGAGTGCCAAAAAATCACCAACGACGACGACGACGGAGAAAATAATAAAAAAAAAAAAAAAAAAAAAAAAAAAAAAATACAACAAAAACGCCAAGCCGGTCGGACCGATTTAATAAATTATTGTTGTCGCGCCGTTACAATAATATACGCGCGACGTTCGTGCCGCCCGCGCAGCTTGCAGCAGCAGCAGCAGTTCGCCCCGACGGAACAACGGAATTTATATCGCACGGGATCCGAAGGATTTTTACCGGGGGTCCCTCCCCTCCCCCCCCCCGCCCCCGCCCACGCTGCTATAAATGCCGTTGCTGTGCACGGTCGGAATAACAACGCCGGGACGCTCGGGGCGAAACGTTCGCCGAACGCCCGCGAAACCGCTTTCCGATTTTCCAGATTTATTTCCGGCGGGCCGACCGACGCGAAAACCGCGCGACAAACTAATAAACGCGCGTCCGCCGCGGAATAAACGGGTACGCCGTTCGACGGGCCATTGATCGGTCCGCGACCGCGGACGCGCGCGGTTTTTTTCTCGGGTGTTGTTTTTCGTTCATTCGCATCCGCGAATCCGTTTAACGCCGCGCGGTCGGGCGAATACTGCACCGTCACCGTGTGTTCCCGTATGCGTCTTTTGGGGCGTGAAATATCGGAGCGGCGAACAAAAAAAATTCTCAAAGTCCACGTTGAACATCGAATAAAAAACGAATTTAAATTCATATTCCGTGTAACCGTCGGCAGTGTATGCTGTTGTTTTTGGTGGGCGACCGTGTCCGTGTGTTTGAGAACAAAGGAAAAATTACGACTAAGAATCGTTTTTATTTTAGCAATAGTTCATCGCTACGTACGAATATAACATAAATAACTCGGTTTTCTTCCTTCCAACTTTTTCCTTAAAACAGTGGACTCTCTATTAGCAGTATCAGTCATTTTTCTTTTTCTTTTTTTTTTTTTTTTGATAAAGTTTGTATTATTGCGCAGCACTCTGTGAAAATTTTTAAACCTAGAGTTTGTCATATTTCGTAAATAAGTATGATCAATGTTGAACGCATTACATTTCAGAGTTGATTATTCTGGAATTATCAAATTATATTTATTTATACTCTCTCGGAGAGTCCGGATCATCTGCATCCCTCTGACTCCTCCCGTTTGTAAATCTACCACGTGAATGCATACACACAAAGTTGAGTGAAAACGAATAAGAAATATTGGTGAAGAACGATCAAGCGAAATTTGCGCAATCGTGTATATTTTAATAGTCATCGAAATACATACACGATTGCGCAAGATTTTAAATGCAACGTTGCCATGTATAAATAATTTTATTACGAATTTCGCTCAATCGTATTGTAGCCAGAAATATGTATGCGGTATAGTACCTTTTCAAATGGTGAGCAATGCGTATTGATTCTGAATTTAATATTGCGTTAAAATTAAAGACAACTATCATTAACCCAACGTGATGAAATAATTTAAAATTTATTCGTTATTTAAAATTTAACGTAAACAGTTAAACGATATTATAAGGTTAGTTAGAAGTAAAAATGAATTTAATTTTTGCCTTTGTAACTGGTTAATATCTAGTTACCATGGTTACCCTAGTTACCATAAATACTGAACAGAAGTACAATGTTGTTGAATTTCAGGAATTGTATTTTCAAAGAAGAAATTCCCCGCTGTGACTGAATTGTTAAATAATTTTATTCTATCACATTTTTTCAACTATATACATATATATTACTATATGAAATATTCCATTCACAAAAAGGCTTTATAGATTTTATGTTTTTCTACAACTCCAAAGCCGCATAGTAGTATTTTCGTTGACTATTTTTTGTACTCCACAAAAATGTTCTTTTTAAGTTTTATACATTTCTTTTCTTTTAAATATAATATATGAACCGCTTTTCGAAAAGTACAAGACGCGGAATAATATCCTCGAATCGGTAATTTACTGCATTTAAACGCATAATATTTATTCGAAACTACGAGTTGAGTACAGGGTAGTAAAATTGTTTACCTGCCGTAACTGTATTCTTCCGGATGAAACTTTATAAATACACGGGTGTATAAAATAATAAATTGTATTGGTTCAGTGTTTCGATACATATATATATAGTTAAGTTAGTAAGTATATGAAAAACGTACGATGAAATACTGTTATGGAACGTGCAATAAAAAACAAAGTTTCGCGTTTAAAACTTTGGTAAATTATTTAGATAAAAAAAAAAAAAAAAAAAAAAAAAAACAGTAAACGAAAAAAATATGTCTACGACAATATTATTTAGTATAGATTGTGAAAAAATATATCGGAACGGAACACGCGTATTTTATGATATTTGTTCGCTCGGTTTTTCCTCTAAAAACAAAATCGGTACTGTATATTATCCGTATTCGGACGGGATGGAGAAAGGTCAGGGGAGAGAGGAAGTCGGGTGCATCAAGACAATAACTCTGCGGCACAAAGACGAAACAAATTAATAAGAAAGTTCGATCGTAATCGAATTTACTCTCGTCGGAGTAAAAAAAAAAAAAAAAAGTTCTACCGACTTCTTTTAACGTCTACGCGCCGCTACCGTATACTACCATTATTATTATTACTATTATTATTTTACGTGTTTATAAAAACGTGCGTTGGCCGAACGATTTACGAGACTTTCGGCTTTTCGGCGTTCACGATCGTTTTTCGTGTGCGTCTACCGCATCGGCCGTCTTCCGCTGAAAAACAATAAACGCCGAGCGAAAAGCGAAAAGTCACCGCGATGGGACAGGGCGTTGCGATTCTAGGGCACTCGCCATTTCACGCAGTTACGTTTCGGCAAAAATATTATGAGTCGAACGCGAAGAAGAAAAATCGTTTTGTAACGGTTTACACATACTCGGTCGTACGTACTCAAAGGCGAAAAAGCTAAAAACGGTTTGTCGAGGCCACGTGCGGTCGATTTCGCGCGGGGGGGAGGGGTCTCGTTATTTTCCGGCCCCGGTTCGGGGGGTGAGGTTAAGCGCGACGTTCAAAACCGCTGAAAAATAATAAAAAAAAAACACGAATCATCGTAACCCGTACGTCCGCGCCAGCGCGTGAACGAATCGTCCTATATGGATTCCGAATTCTTTTTTTTTTAGAAAAAAAATTGTTTTTATCCTTATTATCATACGGAATCTACCGACCGATATTCCCTTCAGAAAAAAAAAAAAAACGAAAAACCGTCCGTCAAACGGCGTCGAGTTTCCCGCCGTGACCCGTTTGCGCGGGGCGTTGTTCGTTCGCCGACCGCTCCCGTCACACGCTACCCGACGCCGACGTTCGTCCTGTTCGCGACCGGGCCCGACATTTCTTTAACCGCGTTGAAACCTAATAACGTTTGTTCGCGGGACGCGTCGGTCGGACATGTTCGAGTAGGTGTTGTTTGCGTGCGCGCAGAATCGATTTTCCCGCGTCGAGACGCGTTCGTCGTATTTCATTACGCGATTTATTACTGTTTGTTTATTTTTTTTTTTTCCCCGCTCCTCCGAAGAAAAGTGTCCGGATAAAATGTTACGGCGATGATGACGTTTAATTGACCGCGAAATCGGGGGACGCGTAAGGACCACGTCGCAGAGGCCATTTAGCCCGGCTCGTTCGCCCGGCAGTGGCGGCGGGAAGGGCGAAACACGTTTCCGGGCCGCGGCGTTTACACCCCGCGGCCGATCGCCGAGCGCATGCAGTTTCCGTGTCTGAGGACATGGGGGGTCGCGGGGGGACGACTGCTATACACACATATCCGAGCGCCGGAAACTCGGAAGGGCGCGCGGACGGGTGCGGTTGTTTAAGCTCGTAATGCGTAAATACATACGGGGGGTGGGGGAGGAGCACAAATATAACGCGAAATTCGACTTACGATACACACGCCAACGCATAATATTATCACTTCGTAGCACGTACGCATACAACGCACATAGCGCATTATATACGCTCGGCAACAATACAACGACGACATTACGGTCGCTTATATTATACATAATAATATAGACGTACTTTCCGGCATCGTCACCGTCTACCAGGCTGGCACCCCGGGGGCGTGGGTCCTGTCTCGGTTTGAGGACAGGGGTCAGCCCCCATTTCTCAACGAACTCGATCCGGGAAATGTTGGTCCCGTTGGGATGTTCGGCCCGTCAGCAGCATCAGACGCGGCAGTGACCGGTGCACGTGGGTGCGAGCGGCCGTGGACCGCGGCGGCGGCCGCCCGCGCGCTACGGACCACGGGCGAGAGGCTCACGACGGCCGGTCGCCGGACGACGAACAGTGACGGTCGTGGCCCGCACCGGTGTGTCCGGCCGGCATTGTCGCGGTCGTGATGGTCGTGCAGGCGGTGTCCGTGGCCGCGGTCGCGGTCGTTGCAGCCGCGGTCGTGACGGTTGACGTCGCGACCTCAACGGCGGGGGAGGCGGCCACCACGTCGTCGTCCGTGCGACGGACGGCGGCGGCGACAGCGGCCCGATGCACCGCGGCCGCGGCGGCTGCAGCAGCACCCGCCGCCGCTGCAGCACCGCTCACCACGGCCGCCGACCGACCGGAAAGGGGGCGCGCGCGACGGACGGCAGCAGACTATGCGACGGCGACGGAGGCTGCTGCGACGGCTGCGACGGCCGGACGCTGTTTTTGTTTTCGTTACGCGCGAGTTCGCGAGTTCGGTGGTCGCCTTCGGAGACGCGTTCGAAAAATTGGAAAAATTTTTTAGCGATCAAATAGAAAAAAAAAATAAAAAAAAAAAAAAAAAAAAAANTATTATCTCGTCGTTACACTGCAGTTGTCGTTATTGCCGTTAGAATTGTTTCCGACGACGACGCGCGAGACGTTGTCCCGCACACGACACGCGCGGCCGCATAAATATTATATTATTGTCAAACCCGCCGTAACGCGCGTGCACTCACCACCGCTGCGCTCGCTCACTGTACACACTATAACTAACACACACTATATTGGCTCGGCGTAGCTCGCTCGCTCGCTCGCGCGCCCGCACACACACGCACACGCACACGCACACGGACGAACGAACGGACGCGCTCACCGTTCACACGCACACTGCACACACGCAAACGCGCGGCAATGGGACGGACGCGCGCGCGCGCTCGCACCGATGAGCGGTGAGCAGTACTCGGAGGGGTGTAGCGCACGGACACCGCCGCGGCTAGATGAGCGCGTCGAGCGACACTGTGCGCGGCGCGCTGGATCCGCCGCCGACGACGACCTCCCCGCCCCTCGCCCCTTGCCGTCACACCACCGCTCCTCTCGCCCACAGCCCCGGCCGACGGTACGTGCGACGACGACAACGACGGCCGTACGACTGCGATGAATTTACCCCCGAGCGTGCGTCCCACCCTCTTTACGTACATCCATTATCGGGATTTCCTACGGACCTCGCGAAATGATTATCCCGTTGCTTCTTTTTTTTTTTTTTTTTTTTTGGGTTTTTTTTTTTTTTTTTTCATAAGCTCACTCTTTCTCCGCGTCCGCACACGGCCGCCGCGTAATCGCCGGCGTTTTTCGCTCGGTACAGCGCGCGCGACGCGACCGTCGAGTGCCGCGGAGCGTTCCGCGCCGACGGCGGCCGTACAGGTCCGGCGGCTACTCTCCACACGCGTCCCGCTTACGGTACCGCGCGCGCCAAAGCGAAATATCGAACACCGTGCCAGGAAAACGTCACCTAATCGCGCGCCCGCAAACGACCGACGCGTCGTCGTTGTATTGAGGGGTGAGCGCGGGCGCACTCGAACTCGCGTTGCCCGTCACCCGGTACACTCGACGGGAGAATCGAAACGGACAAATAACGTTTTTCGAAACGCGACTCTTGCGTCGGCCGTCCGACACTCCAATACGATAATAACCCGCCGGGTACGAGGGTGGGGGCGACGGACGAATAAAATATCCGTCCGTCCGTCCGTAGGTTTCCGTCCGGGTCGCCGCCGTCGTCGAGTTTTCCGTTTCTTTCTGTCGAGCGTACGGCGCGCGCGGAGTTTACACTCGTCTCTCGGGGAGCGCGTGTGCATTTGAATTTCACCGGCGGCGGCGGCGGTGGCGGCGGCGGCGGCGGCGGCGGCGGAATCGATCCGGGATGGCCGCGCGGGGCCAGTGCGCCGCAATTTTTTTCCCTCCGTCACGCGCCGCGCACACGCGTTTGCCGGGCGAACCGCGGCAAATCGTCCGAACGCCCCGAACCCGTCCAGCGGTTGTTGCGATTCCACAACGACAGCGACCAACAACGACGGCGATTAAGCCGGTTCGCTTGTCGGGATTTTACGCGGCGGCCAACGGACCCGGCGAACAATATTATTGTCGCGCAATTGTTTTGACGAGCGTGTAGTATTATCATTGTTGTCGTGCGAGTATTGTGCGCGCCGCGTTCGCCAATAATATCGCGGGCCGCGGAGCTGGCCGGGCCCCAAGTCCGCGCCACGGTACTTGTTGCGCGCCGTCCTCGTTTCGGCCGGGCGCCGCGGACCGTGCGCGGGACGGCGGCCCGCGGCGGCCGTACGCGGCTAACGACATTATCGGCGCGCAGCGGCGGCGGCGGCGGAGAAAACGCGATTTTTCAAACGCGTCTCGATGCGATTTCCCGGGCACCGGGACGGCGGTCCTGGTCGGACATCGCGGTCGCACAGTTGCACACGCAGGTACGGCGCGATAATGACGCGTACCGCCCGGACCGCCGACACGCCGCGCCCCGCGGTGCCGGCCCGCATTATAATAATAATAATAAACCGCGTCGCCCGGGCCCGTTTCGCGAACGCCGCGGTTTTTCGCCGGAGTGTTTTACAACGGCCGACATTTCTACTAACTACTTTCGCGGTTCGATCGTAAAAATAGGCGACGAGTTTAATACGTCGAAACGTCCAAAAGGCACGGCATTTTCGATACAAACGCCACGCGTAAACGGCGTTCCGTCAGCCCAGTTGCGGACGTCGGGTTTGCCGAGGTTAAAGTAAAAACATCTTTGGCCAGATCAAATCCGCACTGAAATTCGACACGACTTTTATCGCTCCGATCCGCCGACAAAACAGTACATTGACAACGAGCCGATTCGGTCCGGAGGGAGCCGCTAGAAATTTCCGAAAATAGCGGGAAAACGATATACCCGCTCTGTATTGTCTAGCAATTCGTTGGTACAAACCGGTGTAAATTCCCCCTTGAAAACCAAACCGGTGGGAAATTGAAACATTTTTCGGTGTAGCCGGTGTTAAAATTAACAACACCGGTTTTATTTTTCTGTACCATCACGTGCGTACGGTGCAAACTATTTACACCGGTCTCATCAGCTCTCGTTTTTCCCCTCGAAATTACAAACGAACAGATAAATGATAATAACAATAATTTAATTGATAAAAATTAATTTTAATACGCCTGCGATGTGGACAATTCAACGCATTTACCTAACAAAATGAATACTACAGATATGCTGATATTAATAAGCGTTAAACGGGGGAGTATAGGTAATAATTGAAATAATCGATTAATATTTAATTGATATTATCGTTGTCAATTTTGCACAACGGTGGGGATACGCTGATTTCCATCGTCGAATATCCGTACGGCCGGTGTAAAATAATCGGTGTCGAGTGTTAGTAAACCGGTACAAAATGTATCGGTGCACCCGCCGTTTGTACCAACGAAATTCCAAAATATATTTATTGAAGAAAAAAAAAACAACAAACAAACAAACACTCGAATATCCGATTAAAACATTTGTTTTCCCGCGATTTCCGCGGTTCGTATTCGTGCGCGATACGCGGACACGCCCGGCGACAGTGCAGCCGCCTCGGCCGCCGCGTACTTCGTTCACCGGCCGCCCGACGACGGCGACGACGGCGCGAACAAATAAATAATTCATTGTTATTCGTATACGCGAAAATTATCGTTAATCATCCGTCGCGTGATGATCAATAATACATATTACCGGGGCCCGATTAACCAGCGGGCCGAAAAGGCTGAAATGCTTAAATGGTAAGTGTCGCAACGCAACAATTTTTGTTCAAATCGATTGTTTACAAATTCGCATCTCCCATTTCGACATGTTTGAGGGGAGGGGAGGGTGGGGGGGGTACGGAAGAGTAGGGAGTCGCCAAATCAATCCCGGCCTACCGGTGGAAAATCCGTTAATCGGTCCGCGCATATTATTATACTGTTGGCCGACGCGACTATTCGTTGCCGACGTAAAAACCGACGACGACTACTTGCGATCCGACGTTCGAAAATCGCGATTCGAACACGGCCGCTGCGTCGCGTTGAAAACACGGCATTTTTAACGATTTCATTCGTATTGTACAGATGTTTTAGACTTCCACTCGCTAACCCTCCCTCCCCCCCACGAAAATATCTCGTCGATATTCTCAATATACTCACTTATTATCAGAACGGGGTTGTTTTTTTTTTTTTTTTTAACATTTCCGTTAAATTAATCGCAACGCTATTTCGATTTTCGGCAGTGGTGCCGTATCAGAACAACATGACTAACTTGGCGGAGAATCGGAAAATAACCGATCACCGAGCCTCGCCGTCTTGTCTGTCTCTGCGATCCCAATATCGGATTTCATTATTCGTCCGCGAAACCGGCAGAAATCGGTTCGTCTCGAAACTCAAGATACTCCGTGTACCCGAGTAAAGGTACTCTATTTACCTTTAAAAACCTAGCGCCCCTGGCCTTTTTATAACCCTCACACCACCGCTGGTAGTTCCGACCCCTCTTTTTACAGCGGTCCCCTAAGAAGTATTAATATAAAACCAACATCAAAACGTACAATTACAAACTTTTTTTACGTAAATTACCCGTTTTTGTTTTTTAAACATCTTCATTTAAACGATTTTATAAGTGGGAATATCGATCACTGGGTAAAACGATATAATAGCATGTTGTTCAATGATAATACTATAAATAGGTCAGTGGTGACTGATTACCCGGATTTATAGACAATGAACGGTTATCATTGATGGTTACTTATCCATTATCGGTCATCACGTATCAGACATGAGATATATCAATATATTTTGTAAATATTTATAAATGTTCCGTAAGATTTAGGTGTTAAACACAAAAATTTAAATCGAGCAATTTTACTAAAATCGATGAGCTTAAACAACAACCAGTTTCGTACGCCAGAATATCCGACAAATTAGTCGAGCCGCTCATTATTCCGCGTTCCTTTCCCCCCCCCCCCCCCCTCAAACGAAACACCGAAATAATATGGAACAGCCGTATAGTTTTAATTTAATATAACGTGTATATCGATTTATTGAGAAACGACGTGACAGCTTGGTAACGCAAATAGAACGTCTTTCGAAAGTCTTGGTGTTTTTGTTTTTTTTTTCGCTTGGATATAATATCAAAACACGATTAAAAAAAATGCCTATAAATTATTTACGTTTCGGTTTGCAGTGCTCGAAAATGCGAACTACGTAATAATTTACTGTACGCGGTACGCGCCGCGCGTGTACGATAAAAAACAATATTACACAATACTATATACAAAATGTGTGTACAATGATAAACGACCGATATAAATAGCGGAAACCGGACGAAAGGCGACCGAATACAATAATAATAATATAACAACACGTCCGGGCGGAGAGGAAAAATCTGTTGGACATACGCGGAACGTGGTATACCTATACCGCCCCCGAAAACAATAAAATCCGCGTAATTCATTCGAAATATCGAACAATTTTTAATGTATTTTTTTTTTATTTTTTTTTTTTTTTTGTTTTCTATCTCCGGGCGGTTTTTTTCGTTTTTAATAAAAAGTATTTTTTTCCGCGGTTTTTCGTTTTTTTTTATATTATTTTATTTATCCGGTTATGTAAATTAAAATTTAACTGTCGCGTACACTGCATGTGTTGTATACAGGGCGATGCGTTCGTCACGAATATCTCGGTACGGTTTTAAACAGTGACATTGATTTCTGTTTGTTTTCTTCCGTCGTTTAAACATAATAATAATACGCAGAA